ATGGATATTTGAAAATGCATTTTCGAAATACGCTTTTGAAAGAAAATAACACTATTTTTTCAGAAAATAGAATTTATAGTTGTCATGGTTCTTTGCAGGCATCAAGGCCCACTCCGTCATGCACAGATACGTTAAACAGACACAGTCCAGTGTTCAGTGGTAGAAAAGGCAAAGAGAGTGGTAAACCTTTATTAAAATCCTACCTGCTGCACTTACTTTCAAGACAAACCCTCAGTGAGCCCCGGAGCCCAAACTGTAGAGGCACCGTCTTAAATATCCTGAGGGGTCTTGAGGAGCCTCTGGAGTATATACGTGGAAGTGCTTCGTAAACCGTAAAGCACCATGTAACTGGTAAGCTCCTTAGGTGACTTGTGCATCATCACAATACGGTGTCATTCCAGTGGAAATGCCATAGTACGACCTAGGTCTTCTGAAAACCTTCCATGGTTCTTTCCCCTACTCAACACTGACAGCATTTCCACTCTGTGACAAAAATGTCTACCGTGATTCTCACAGGGCTGTCAAAGATCCCCTGTAGTCAGAGTAGAACCCCAGTGCGAGGGAAGCGTCCTCTGCCATAGCATCCCAGGATTTGTCCAACACCCATAGCATTATGTATTTGCATTGCAGTTGTCTTCTAGGTAGGCAATGGCTTCGCCTCCCTCCTCACTTCCTAAACGTTCTCGTTCAAAGCGATCTTCTCTGGCTTCCACTTAACTTACAAGGAAGTGGACATTTTAAAAACTAAAAAGATGTTTTAAAATACTTTATAAAATATTTGTTGTTGTGATTGATCAGTGCCTGAGCTTAGGATAATTCATTACATGTCCTGTGGTGCAAAGGAAAATTCACAGGAAGACATGAATTATTAATAATTGATGGCATGAAAAGAAAGTATCACAAAGCTTATTTATATAAACTATTAAGTGGAGGTTGAGAGAGACGACTAACAAGAAGTCATTTAGAACTATTACATTATTATTATGAATAGACGGACAAAACATCGATAGGAATGCAATGTTAAGAACACAGAACCATACAATCAATTGAACAATTTCATTGTTCTACCAGTCATAGTCAAACTTATTAAATGAGAGTAGCAAGTATTATACAAATGCTCTCAATAAAATATTTTTATTATGAGAAGTGGCAAAATTAACATGGTTACTCTTGAAGAGCTAATGTCAAAACTAAGTTGAATTCCTAAATTGTAGTCATGACGTTTGTGACTTCCATTAGTTAATTTAAAAGATACAAAATAATTTGGTACACTTACGGTTTTAAAGCACTATATGTTTAATCTGTATTTTTGGTACTTCCCTCGTGTGTATTGCTTTTAAGTTGAAAATAATCACACCTGTTAGTATTTAAACCATATCTTTTTTTGTACTGTCACTATATACATTATTAACATATATTAAGTATGTATTAAGTATTTTGAATACCTGTAAGAAGATGCCACACCATTCCATCATCCTTATTTAGGAGTAAAATTCAAGGATCAGTAATCTTATAATTACCTCCTCCATAGCGTCTTCAAAATGCCTCTATAATTACAGCATTGAAATTATATGCCACACTTTTCCCCAAATATTAAAAAAAGTAATAAAAATACCGAGGAATCCCTAGTTCTCATCTCCTATGCACCTACAGATTTTAACGAAAGACACATTACCTCTTTTTAGCTGAAATTTGCATTCTATGATTTTGATAGGAAAATGTACATCAGAATGTTTGCCGGTTAAATAGTACATTTCAAAAAATAATGTGTGTAATCACTTGAAAATGTCAGTCATCTGATACAAAGAAGCTCACTCACATTGGTTAAGTAGTAAGTACTTTGGAATGCTTTAAACGTAAAGAAACAATCTACCAAAACACATACTTTTTCCTAGTCTTTATGCACATAATGTAGCATGAAATCATGATGCTTTTGAAATACTCTGTGCAGAAATATTTATTTTTTAGCAAATATTTTCTTCAAAGATTGGTATGTGGTATTGACAGTGTAATCTACTTGCACAACTAGTTTTGCAATAACCTTCTACAAATAACTGTAAATAAGAAAAATGTAAATTTCATGTAAAAATGGTTGCAAATTTTTGGTAGCTAAAAGTGTACAAGTTGTATTGAAAATATAGTATATATACATAATTTAAGAACGAAGCATATCATTTCTGATCTATTTATACATGAAAATTCAAGAATTTGTAAAAGAAATTATTTTGGGGAAAAAGAAAGTAAATCTCATTAGCTAGTTAGAATACTTTTATTAGAGAAGCCAACTATTTCCAACATTTTCCTAGGCATAGTGCTAGATATAGGCATGGTGGTGCTGATGTATTTCATGAAATCACATAATTGTAACAGTGCTGCTACAGTTTACGGAGTTCCACTGGGACACCAGTAAACTGGACTGAGTGGTAAAAAGCATTAAATCTAAAATTAAAGAAACATAGGGGCGCCTGGGTGGCTCAGTTGGTTGAGCGGCTGCCTTCGGCTCAGGTCACGATCCTGGAGTCCCGGGATCGAGTCCCGCATCGGGCTCCCTGCTCAGCAGGGGGTCTGCTTCTCCCTCTGCCCTCTTCCCTCTCGTGCTCTCTCTCTCTCTCATTCTCGCTCTCAAATAAATAAATAATAAAAAAATCTTTAAAATTAAAGAAACATAAAAACACTTCACTTCTTATTGGCTAGCAAGAACATAATGGTAATTTACTGAAGCATTTATTGTTTCATTCCTTAAGATTTCCGATAACTAAGCAGGCTTCAAATTACATGGGACACGAATTCCGTATAATGTGTACATGGTTCATTTTTTTTTTCATCAAGATTGGAAATATCCAGATTACATTATTTCCATTTGCCTAAGTTTCATATGCGCTTAATTTCCCCCCCAGAATCATTTATCTATTATTTAAGAAAAAAAAAATCCAACTATCTTCAGAGAAATCTTTTCAATAAAATTTGTTGGTCACAATATGGCATTTTCTAAGCTAAAGGCTATTTGGTCCATTTAGTGGCTTAGATTCCCCACCATCCATTTCTTAAGGTTTAAAAAGCCAAGAGAACATTTCCCTATATAATAAATGAAAAACCAAATCAAATATAGATTATCAGAAAGCAATGTACTGGTATCTTTAAGTGAGGCTGATTAGAAAATGAGAATCAAAGTACGAATAAGCTAATTATTTAAAAACTTAAAATCTCTTGCGTAAGATGAATTTGGGGGTGACGTATTTAGATAGCTTTGGGAAATTACATATGCATCCAAAAGTTTGGCTAATCCTAATTTTTTTTAAAATGGCCTATGATTTTCAAAAGAATATGGGTCTTTATTTAGTATGTTTCTGGAACATTCATACCTGTTCAGGTTACCCTTTGAAATTTCAGTGATCACAGCAAGATAAAATGTGATTAAATACAGCCAGCTAAAATGCCAATGACTGCGTGTATATATTTATATTTTCATGCTTAAGGGAAAAGGCTGGGACACAACACCCCCAAACACACACATACAATGTGTCAGAAGAAGGTACTAATTTCTGGCTTATTTGTCTCTGACTATAGCTATTGAAGGATGACAGAGCCCAATTGTCATTTCCTGTAAGCTTTCCAGATGGCCAGCATCTCTGATGTTGTGGAAGGGGTACACCTGGAAATACAAGTAGCTCATAGGCAAGGACCCTCTTCCCCCCCTAACTGTATGGCACATCACAGTAATGTAGGAGTGCTGCCAATGTCTACTTGCTATATATATGCACATACACAGAAGCACACCTGAGTTCTGAATGCTCACAAAATAATACACACAGCTGTATATTACCAAGCTACCTGGTTAAAAGGAATGTTACATAATATAAGGCTCTTTCCTTCATATGCCAGTAAAATACGTTTTTTTAAAACAAGCAGAAAAAGACATGGCAAGAAACAATTAAAAGCACAGATTTCCCAGCATCCAAATAATGAGTTGATAGTGAGTCAGACATAAATTTTTCATAAGTATCCTAGTGTCTTGCTGGAAAGTAGTTTTGTGCTCAGTATTCTAAATTACAGGAAAAAATTTAACATATGGACATATATGATGTTATAACCTTATTCTAGACTACAAATTACCTAAACCGGTATTCGTTTAAAATCCTCTCTGCATTCATCACTATAACAGAAGTTCTCAATATTTGTTTTCTCTTTGTATCATCTAATTTTATTATAAAGTCTAGACATACTCTTAGATGATAGCTTAGCATTGTACATTTATTTCAAAGTGCTATAAGACCAAAAAAAATGTGGTTTTTAAATACAAGTTTCAAAGTAATAAAACACCCATGGTTGCATTTTGAAGTTTAAAAGAAAAAAAAAAATGCTAACCGGAAAGAAGTCTTGGATTTTTACTCACTAAATATAATCACCAGACTTTCACAAATGTATTCCTACTAAGTTCCCAGAAAACTGCGACTAATAGAGAAAACATATCTATGAGTCTGTCAAACATAAAGGACAAAAGAGAAGCACATTTCTGACAAAGAGTATTTAGCTTGTCCCGTTTAGTAATGTCATAACAGTACAAGTGAACTTGATTTGTGTATTTTACTTAAATAATCACAAATTGATATTTTTTCTCATTTTTTAAATTGCACAGACTTTAAACTACGTTAATAAATTTTACTTTCTTCCAGGGTGAATACCTTTTCTGGAAATAAACATATCATTTGACATTTTTAAATCACTTTCTGTTTCTGAATGCATGCTTAAATAGATCACATGAGCACAGTCCTTGAAATTACACTTAAAGTGGACCAAATTAAGATTCAAAATAGTGTTGATTTCCCCTTGATGTAATTTAAAATGTGTAAACTGCCACTCAAAATAGAAGTGCAATACCTGATATTTAATCATAATCATTTGGCAGTGTTAATAGGTAGGGGTGAATTACTGCACTGTTATTTGAACTGAAGCATCTCATATATGTAACAGATTTTGTATGATACAAAACTTTACAGCAAGCTATTTGAATGTTTATTAAAAAATTCTCAAAATGACATGGAAACATGTTTACTGTACAAATAAAAGCACTTAGATGTTAAGAGTGTACATTATTCAATAATTTACATCATCACAAGAAAACTGGGTGTGACTTAAACAGTACAAACTACCACATTATATTCATATTCCAGGCATTGTTCATCATCCACTATTTAATTTTTATGTGTAATGGATGTCTGTTTACATCAATTATCTTGAGAGCATCAAAAAGTGAATTGCATTTCAGTATAAAAATCCAAGTAAAATATTCTCAATGGCTAACGTTTGGTAAGATTATCTGTTTAATGGAAAGGACAAAAGAACTGTCTGACAAGTAAGTTGGATTGGCATGGAAAATCAGCTTTGCTAGAGAAAGGGGTTCTGTGGTCAAAAAAGTTTGGAAAAAACTGGGTCAAATAAAAGTAAACCGGATTTTATGTACCTTAGGCTTTATCAAACTCCCTGAAAAGGGTGAAAATTTCCCAAGTACATTTGCTCATCGAAACTCCTTCACAGATCTCCTACGACCAAAATTCATAAGAACACCTTTGGAAGAGGATGAATTAGAGAATCATATAAAGAGTTCTAATACAAGGTGTCATCTGGCAGAAATTTATATGAAGAATACCATATGTCATTTTTAAAGTTTTGCCTCAACCAGTAGCCTCCAAGTAAAGAAAAACTAGAACAGACCTCAGAACAGTACAGTGACTAGATTACCTGTAAACTGGCTGTTAAGATCCCAGGCTGCTGAGTCATATTATCACCCTTATTCAACATGAATGATATGAGTGTGTTTACATTAGTTTTTCCCAACAAGACTTCTAATTAGAATCCTGTATTTTTTTTTTAATGGCTCAGTTAACATCCTCTCACATTATCAAATATATGTTCATGGAAAAAAACATCCAGAGGACAAAAGTATATGGATTATTTCATCACACATTTTATACTGCTGACCAAATGATAGCTAATTGTATAAAATTATAATATCAAAATGACTATCCAATACTTCCTTTCCAGGACTGTTAAAAGTAAAAGTTGATTTAAAATTCTGTGAGTTTATAAAAAGTTTTCTTTCAAGATACTGCCATTCACCCTCCACCCTTTAAGAAACACAGAATTTTATAAAAAGCCTAATTAAATTGGTCACCAGTCATACTAAAATCATGTCAATTTGTACTCACATTTTAAGCTGGAAGACCTTCAGTTAAAGTGTAAGAAAAATACATGTTTTTTTAAATCTTCACTAAGAAAGACAGAACATTTGCCAGGAAAGCAGCTGGATTAATTACAACAGCTCACACCAGGGATCTTAAATGCTAAGGATTTGATGACCACTTTGCAACTTTCCACAGTAATGCCACAGAAACAGGCCATGGTGCCACCTGTGGTCAGTACCCCCCCAACATTACACACCTGCACTCAACGACTTACCAGTTTACCAATGCCAATGGTAAACCCGCAGCTAATGTTGAGAAAGTCAAACTTAAAATTTCTGAACATTTAAGCAAAGTGGTAGATTACTTGTTTTTTAATTTTGTGAACAGTTGGCATTATATATATAAAACAATTTAGCTTCACAGAATACATTGAAATGTTGACATTTCATTAAAAATATGTATCACTTCCAGAAAGTCTAGATTTAAAAGGAAGATGCCATTTTAGGCTTTGTTGTCACTAATGAAAAAAAGTACAGTCACAAAAGGATGTTTATTAAGAACTTTTTTTCCACAGAAGACAAAAAAGCATATTGAAAAAAATATGCACTGACAAAAACAAAGGAAAAAAAATGCATCCTGTAGCCTTATTTCTATAGGTTAATTTATGGTGCACCTAAGGTGATGTAACATAAAATTTTAGGAACTTTCTCTCTTCATAGACAAAGACCAGTGAGTTTCTGTTCTTGAATTATGTGATCAAGGAATAAACTCTCTTACAAATATGGCACAAAATCCAGGCTTCTCCTTCTAGCTCCCTTTCACAACCAATGACTACAAACAAAATTTCAAAGTATAATTTGTAACCTTCTGGTAAGTATACATTAGCTTTATCTAGACTTTCATTATTTGGCTTCTTATATAGTCTCTTGTAAGTACATTCTTCTGGGTTAACAATGTTAAAAATTAAAGTTAAAAGGTATTTATATCAATTCATCATATACCAATATTTTAGGATACCATACAGATACCTGTTAAGTGATAACTTTTCTAAAAGCAATTAATATTCCAAATACAAAAGCACTTCTTTTATTGCTTTGAACTATGCACTAAAGTAAAAACACATAGAAAGGGAACAGGTTTAACACAGAAAAACCCCCAAAGCTTCAAATTCAAAGTAGTCCAGTTCATTTCTTCCAGGTAAAAAAATTCACAGTGTTTCTTCAGCTTTCAAATTCTAGACATTCAAATTGCCATAGTACCCTGCAAAAACTAATACATAAGCAAAATCATCAGCTGGTAACAATAAAATGGTTTTTGTTTTTGATTAATTATACTCCATAAAAGCATTTTCACAAGAGGGGAAGTTTTAAATGTTTCCAAGTCTTGTAATGTAAACCGGGATATACCAGTAGGGAAATGCTGACCCTCTAACTTCCGTATAACAAAAACAAAACAAAAACCCCGAAACATTGATGTACATGTAAAATATAATTTTCCTATAGATTCAATTAAAAAAATGGGATGATGCTAATTGTAACCATTTGAAACAAGAAATGAACAGTGTCCTAATCTGTCATATATGAAAATTTCCTCTCTCTTAATATCACCAAGAGTAAACTACTCTTTATAAAAATAGTGGTAGTTTGGCCCTGAAAAATGATTTGAAAGATGGGATGCCTGGGTGGCTCAGTAGTCAAGAGTCTGCCTTCAGCTCAGGTCATGATCCCAGGTTCCTGGGATTGAGTCCTGCAACGGGCTCCTTGCTCAGTGGGGAGCCTGCTTCTCCCTCTTTTGCTCCCTCTGCTTGTGCTCTCTCTGACAAATAAATAAAATGTTTTAAAAAAATGACTTGAAAGATAAACTGCCAAAAACATGTCATGAAATTTAGAAGTATCTTTATGTTTAATATAAAGTCAAGTTGGTATTTGTACAAATACCGAATCATATTTGCATTTAGCTGAAAAAAACAGAAGAAGAATATGGTCTATAAAACATATTAATCCCAGTACTGATACCAGGGATCACTTAAATTTTTTGACAACTGAACACATCTAGAACACAGTGTAAATATCAGAATACTCACATCATCATATACAAAATTCACAACCCCTTGTTGCAAGTGGTCTCTTCTCCTAAAGAAATCTTTAAACAAGCAAACAAAAAATATTAAAATTTTAAATATATAGTTTCAAATACTTGCACTAAAAAAATGACTAATTTCATACTCAAAAGTTTCAGTTTTTATTTAAATTAGTTAACATATAGTGCAATATTAGTTTTGGGGGTACAATATCATGATTTAACAATTCCATACATCACCCAGTGCTCATCACAACAAGTGTGTTTCTTAATCCCCCCATCACCTATTTCCCCCATTCCCCTCACTCACCTCCCTTCTGGTAACCATCAGTTTGTTCTCTAGTTAAAAGTCTGTTTCTTGGTTTGCCTCTTTCTCTCCCTCTCTTTTTCCCATTGCACATTTGTTTTGTTCCTTAAATTTCACATGAGTGAAATCATATGGCATTTGTCTTTCTCTGACTTATTTCACTTAGCTTAATACTCTCTAGCTCCATCCATGTCTTTGCAAATGGCAAGATTTCATTCTTTTTTATGGCTGAGTAATATTCCACTGGGGATATATATATACATACATATGTATGTGTATGTATGTATGTGTATATATATATATATATATATATATATATATATATATATATATATATCTCACATCTTCTTTATCCATTATCCATTTGTCAACTAATAGATACTTGGGCTGTTTCCATAATTTGGCTATTATAGATAATGCTGTTATAAACATCGGGGTGCATGTATCCCTTTGAGTTAGTATTTTTGTATTTGGCTAAATACCTAGTAGTCCAACTGCTGGATGGCAAAGTAGTTCTATTTTTAACTTTTTGAGGAACCTTCATACTGTTTTCTACAGTGGCTGTACCAGTTTGCATTCCCACCAACAGGGCAAGAAGGTTCCCCTTTCTCCACATCCTCACCAACACCTATTGTTTCTTGTGTTGTTTTTAGCCATTCTGACAGGTGTGAGGTGCTTATCACATTGTAGTTTTGATTTGTATTTCCCTGATGATCAGTGGTGTGGAGCATCTTTTCATGTGTCTGTTAGCCATCTGGATGTCTTCTCTGCAAAAATGTCTATTCATTTCTTCTGCCCACTGTTTAATTGGATTATTTGTTTTTTGGGTGTTGAATTTTATAAGTTCTTTATGTATTTTGGATAGGAACTCTTTATCAAATATGTCATTTGCAAATATCTTCTCCCATCCTGTAGGTTGCCTTTTAGTTTTGTTGATTACGTCACTGTGCAGAAGCGTTTTATTTTGATGAAGTCCCAATAGTTTATTTTTGCTTTTGTTTCCCTTGCCTCAGGAGACCTATCCAGAAAGAAGTTGCTACAGCTGAGGTCACAGAGGTTACTGCCTTCTTCTCTAGGATTTTTATGGTTTCATGTCTCACATTTAGGTCTTTAATCCATTTTGAATTTATTTTGTGTATGGTGTAAAAAAGTGACCCAGTTTCATTCTTTTGCATGTTGCTGTCCAGTTTTCCCAATACCATTTGTTTTTTCCCATTGGATATTCTTTCCTGCTTTGTCGGAAGATTAACTGACCACATAGTTGTGGGTTCACTCTTGGGTTTTCTATTCTGTTCCATTGATCTATGTGTCTGTTTTTGTGCCAGCACTATACTGTTTTGATTACTACAGCTTTTAATATAACATGAAGTCTGGAATTGTGATCCCTCCAGCTTTGCTTTGCTTTTTCAAGGTTGCTTTGGCTATTCAAGGTCTTTTGTGGTTCCATACAAATTTTAGGATTGTTCTAACTCTGAAAAATATTGCTGATATTGATTGCATTTAATGTGCAGGCTGCTTCGCGTAGTATAGACATTTTAACAATATCTGTTCTTTCAATCCCTGAGCATGGAATGTTTTTGGTGCAATTGTAAATGGGACTGATTCCTTAATTTCTCTTTCTGCTGCTTCATTATTGGTATGTAGAAATGCAACAGATTTCTGTATATTGGTTTTTGTATCCTGTGACTTCACTGAATTTGTGTATCAGTTCTAGCAATTTTTTGGTGGAGTCTTTCAGGTTTTCTATATAAAGTATCATGTCATCTGCAAATAGTGAAAGTTTGACTTCTTCCTTGCTGATCTGGTTGCCTTTTATTACTTTTTGTTGTCTGATTGCTTGCTAGAACTTCCAGTACTATGTTAAATAAGAGTGGTGAGAGTAGACATCCCTGTCTTGTTCCTGACCATAGAGGAAAAGCTGTTTTTCCTCATTGAGGATGGTATTAGCTGTGGGTCTTATTCATATATGACCTTTATCATATTGAGGTATGTTCCTTCTAAACCTCCTTTGTTGAGGGTTTCTTTTTTTAAATCATAAATGGATATTGTACTTTGTCAAATGCTTTTTCTACATCTATTGAAATGATCACATGGTTCTTATCCTTTCTTTTATTAATGTGGTGTACCATGATGATTGATTTGCAATAATGAACCACCCTTGCAACCCAGGAATAAATCCCACTTCATCATAGTAAATGATTCTTTTAATGTGCTATTGGATTCGGTTTGCTAATATTTTATGGAGAATTTTTGTGTCCATGTTCATCAGAGATATCACCTGTAGTTCTCTTTTTTTAGAGAAATCTTTATCTGGTTTTGGTATTAGGGTATTGCTGGCCTCATAAAATAAGTTTAAAAGTTTTCCTTCCTTTTCTATTTTTTGGAATAGTTTGAGAAGAAAAGGTTTTAACTCTTCTTTAAACTCGGTGGAATTCTGGGGCGCCTGGGTGGCTCAGTTGGTTAAGCGACTGCCTTCAGCTCAAGTCATGATCCTGGAGTCCCGGGATCGAGTCCCGCATCGGACTCCCTGCTCGGCGGGGAGTCTGCTTCTCCCTCTGACCCTCCCTCATCTCATGTGCGCTCTCTCTCTCTCTAATAAATAAATAAAATCTTTAAAAAAAAATAAAATAAATTTGGTGGAATTTGCCTAGGAACCATCTGACCCTAGACTTATGTTTATTGGGTCTTTTTTGATTACAGATTCAATTTCTTTGCTGGTTATCAGTCTATTCAAGTGTTCTATTTCTTCCTGTTTCAGTTTTAGTAGCTTATATGTGTCTAGGAATTTGTCCATTTCTTCCAGGTTGTCTAATTTGTTGACATATAATTTTTCATAATCTTCTAATTGCATTTTTGTGGTGTTGGTCGTTATTTCTTCTCTCTCATTTGTGATTTATTTGGGTCCTTTCTCTTTTCTTTTTGTTAAGTCTGGCTAGAGGCTTATCAATTTTATTAATGTTTTCAAAGAATGAGGTCCTGACTTCATTGATCTGTTTTTTGATGTTTTAGTTTCTATATCATTTATTTCTGCTCTAATCTTTATTATTTCCTTCCTTCTCCTGGCTTTAGGTTCCTTTTGTTGTCTTTTTGTTTTTGTTTTGTTTTCCTTCTAGCTCCTTTAGGTATAAAATTAGGTTGTTTATCTGAGATTTTTCTTGCTTCTTGAGGTAGGCTGGTATTGTCATATACTTCCTGTTTAGGACCACACTGCTGCATCCCAAAGGTTTTGGACCATTGTGTTTAAATTTTCATTTGTGTCCCTGTATTTTTTCATTTCTTATTTTATTTCCTGGTTGACCCACGTTTAGTACGATGTTGTTTAACTTCCATGTATTTATGGTCTTTCCAAATTTTGTCTTGTGGTTGACTTCTCGTTTCATAGTGTTGTGGTCAGAAAAGATGTATGGTAAGATTTCAATCTTTTGGTATTTGTTGAGGCCTGATTTGTGACCTAATATGTGATCTATTCTGGAGAATGTTCCATAGGCAAGTGAAAAGAATGCGTATTATGCTGTTTTAGGATGGAATGTTTTGAATATATCTGTTAAGTCATCTGGTCCAGTGTGTCATTCAAAAACATTGTTTCCTTGTTTATTTTCTGTTTAGATGAGCTGTCCGTTGATGTAAGCGGGGCATTAAAGTCCCCTGCTATTATTGTATTATTATCAATTAGTTCCTTTATGTTTGTTATTGTTTTATATATTTGGGTACTCTCATTTGGTACATAAATATTTACAACTGATAGATCTTATTGAATTGTCCCTTTTATTATGATATAGTGCCCTTCTTCATCTCTTGTTACAGTCTTTGCTTTAAAGTCTAGTTTGCCTGATAGAAAGTATTGCTACTCTGCCTTTTTTTTTTTTTTAAGATTTTATTTATTTATTTGAGAGAGAGAATGAGATAGAGAGCATGAGAGGGGGGAGGGTCAGAGAGAGAGGCAGACTCCCTGCTGAGCAGGGAGCCCGACGCGGGACTCGATCCCGGGACTCCAGGATCATGACCTGAGCCGAAGGCAGTCGCTTAACCAACTGAGCCACCCAGGCGCCCTGCCTTTCTTTTGACATCCATTTGTGTGATAAATATTTCTCCATCCCCTTAATTTCAATCTGCAGCTTTCTTTAGGTCTAAAATGAGTCTCTTGTAAGTAGCATATAGATGGGTCTTATTTTTTTATCCATTCTGACACCCTATGTCTTTTGATTGGAGCATTTAGTCCATTTACATTCAAAATAATTACTGATAGATATGGATTTAGTGCCATTTTATTACTTGTTTTGTCATTGTTTCTGGAGATTTTCTCTGATCCTTTCTTGTCTTTGTCACTTTTGGTCTCTCCATTGCACTCAAAGAGTCCCCTTTAATACTCTTGCAGGGCTGGTTTAGTGGTCACAGACTCCTTTAGTTTTTTTTGTCTGGGAAACTCCTTCTATTCTGAATGAAAGCCTTGCTGAATACAATATTCTTGGCTACAGATTTTTCCCATTCAGTACCTTGAATAAATCATGCCACTCTCTTCTGGCCTGCCAAATTTCTGCTGATAAATCTCCAGCTAATCTTTGGGTCCTCCTCTCTTCTAAGTTAAGGACTTTTTTTTTTTTTTTTTTTAAGATTTTTTTCCTCTATCACTTATATTTTGCAAATTTAATTACACTATGTCTTGGTGTGGCCTGCTTTTGTTGATTTTGAAGGGAGTTCTTTGTGCCTCCTGGATCTGGATGTTTGTTTCCTTCCCCAGATTAGGGAAGTTTTCAGCTTCTTTTTTTCTCCCCAAATAAATTTTCTGCCCCCTTTTCTCTCTCTTCTTCTTCTGGGATGCCTCTATTACAAATGTTATTGTTTGATGGAATCACTGAGTTCCCTAAGTCTATTCTCATATTCCATAATTTTTCTTTTTCTTTTTTGTTGAGCTTCATTATTTTCCATTATTTTGTCTTCTAGGTCACTAATTCATTCCTTCTTCCAGCCTGCTGCTCATTGGTTCAAGCCTGTTTCCAATCTCATTTACTGCATTCTTCATCTCTGGTTGATTCTTTCTTAGCTTTTTTACCTCTGCGGTAAGGGTCTCACTGATGTCTTCTATTCTTTTCCGAAGCCCAGGGAGTATCCTTATGATTGTTGCTTTAAATTCTCCATCAGGCATGTTATTTATATCTGTTTTGCTGGGATCTCTGGCCGTGGCCTTATCCTGTTCTTTCATTTCAGATAACTTCCTCCATCTCGGCATTTTGTCTAAGTCTCTGCTTTCTTCTATGTGTTCGAAAAGCCAGTTATGTCACTTGCTCCTGAAAGTAACTGCTTTATGAAGAAGAGGTCATCACGTAGTGCCCAGGGCCTGGCACTTCAGGGAGTGTCTCTGGTGTGTGCTCCATGTGCTCTGCTCTTGTCTTTTGGCTGCTCTGTCCCTCAGGCTAGGTGTTTTCAGAGGCTCCACTTATCTGCTGTGGGCAGTGTTCGGTCCTTGGCCAGACTATGGCCAGTTTTAACTAGGTGTGCTCTGGTCTGCTTCTGAAATCAGACCTAACAACACTTGCACCAGAACTGAGGCCCTGCAGAATTCTCTGGTTGGGAGACACGGTGTGGGCAGGGGCTTGTGCTGGTCTCTGGGGGAAGAGCCCACCACACTGGGACTAAGGCAAGCTTGACTGAGAAGGGCAGTCCCGCCAGAGTGCGGGGGTGTGAGGTTTGGTATAAACAAGCTAGACAGCCAGTGTCAGTGTTGCCCTGCTTCCGGCAGGTGGCTCTGTGTTTATGCTAAGGGGCGGGAGAGGGAAATGACATCAGCCAGCTCCTTTGTTCCTGGAGAGGTGTCTCCCTGAAGGCTGCCTCTCAGGGACATGCTCTAAGAAGAGCGAATACTCTCCCGTGTGCTCCAAGCATTCCTCAGATCATTATTTCCATGCTATCTGCCCCCTGGTCGTGTGCCTGCCTTCTCTCCAGGAGAAGCACAGTGCCCTCTGGGCTCTACCCTAGCCAAGCACCCTAACCTTTAAAAGTCCAGGTTTTAAGCCCCACTGACTGCCAAGAATTCACAAAACTCAGCCCCTCCCCTTTTCCAAGCCAATGGCTTTGGGGAAATGTTCTTTGCATTCCTGGGTGCTCCTTCCTCTCTTGCCCTTCTCCATGACCACGGCTTCCTCCTCTCTGCAGCACCCGTGATCCATTTCTCTCCTAATCTACATCTCTGCTCTTCCTACCTTCTTCAATGGAGCCTCTTCTCTCCCTTTAGTTGTGGAGTTTGTTCTGTCAATCTCCAGGTCAGTTTTTGGGGTATTTAGGATGATTTGACAGTTATCTAGCTGTGTTCGTGGGAAGAGACAAGCCTATGGTTCTCCTACTCCACTGCCTTCTTCCCTCTCTCTCTCTTCATTCTCTATCAAATCAAGTGATTTCATAACTTGGGCAACTGAGACATGAAGAAAACTTTCCAAAACTGAGCTATAACAATTTTTCACTATTCATATTACTAAATTTTTAAAGCCTTAAAAGTGATTAGATTTAACAGTGAATAAAGGTGAAAAATACATACTATTACAAACTTGTTGAAGAAAATGAGAGATACTATTCAGAAACATAGCTACGTAATACTGCACCCATTTTTAAACGATCAATACCTGTCAATGCTCGAAGCTTCACACAGCAAGCAACATAATCATCAAAGAAGATTCGGCCATTCTTGCTGTACCGTTTAACAATAGCAGTTAATGTTTGAGGACTCAACCTATAACCTAGAAAAAGGAATTTATACTTTAAAATTTCTAAAACCAAACACCGTAAGAGCACCACAACATTGCATTTTCTTTAAAAATAATCATAAATTTCCAAAATTCATTCCATAAAAATATATGCTAGAAACAAAGTATATTCACATTGAAATTTATCAAAGGCTTTATTACTAATAAAGTAATAAGGTGGTTAAGTGGTACATAAATATCACAATTCTAGCTTTGTAATAAAGTCAAAGCTAAGAAAACAAATAATGATCTTTTTGTGTTTTTAAAATATATTTTGATTTTTAAATAATGTCTAGAGTATTTTGTAGATTTTAATGCTTCAATATTTCAATTTCGTAATTTTATAGTTCTTTAAAGAATATCAAAGCAAAAATTATTAGTGATCTTTGCTATCATTCAAATTCTGTATTTCCTTTTTTTCTTTTTAATTTTTCATTGAGGTATAATTGGCATATAAAATTATATTAGTTTCAGATGTATGATACAATGATTCCACTGTTGTATATATTGCAAAATGATTACTACAATAAGTCTACTTAACATCTTCAACACCAAAAACTCCAAATAATCCAATTAAATATGGGCAGAAGACCCAAATAGACATATTTCCAAAGAAGACAAACAGATGGCCAAAAGACACACAAAAATATGCTCAACATCACTCACCATCAGGGAAATTCTAATCAAAACCACAATAAGAGACCCCCCTTACATCTGTTAGAATGGCTAGAATCAAAAAGACAAGGACTAACAATTATTGGTGAGGATGTGGAGAAAAAAACTTCCTGCAGTGTTGGCAGGAATGTAAACTGGTGCAGACACTGTGGAAACAGTATAGAGGTTCCTCAAAAAATTAAAAATAGAATTACCCTATGATCCAGTAATTCCATTACTGGATATTTACCCAAAGAAAAGAAGACACTAACTCAAAAAGATATATGGAGTCCTTTGTTTACTACAGCACTATTTACAATAGCCAAATTATGGAAGTAACTGAAGTATCCATCAACAAACGGATAAAAAAGATGTGGTGTATATATATACAATGAAATATTACTCAGCCATGAAAAAAATGAGATTTTTGCCATTTGCAACAACATGGATGCACCTATATAAGGTATTATGCTAAGTGAAATAAGTCAGAGAAAGACATATGATTTCACTCATATATGGAATTTAAGAAACAAAACAAACAAAGAAAAAAGGGACAAACAAAAAAAAGATTCTTAAATACAGAGAACAAACTGATGGTTGCCAAAAGGGAGATTAACAAGTATAAACTTCCAGTTAAAAAATAATTAAGTCAGGGCACCTGGGTGGCTCAGTTGGTTAAGCATCTGCCTTCAGCTTGGGTCATGATACCAGGGTCCTGGGATCAAGTCCCATCTCAGGCTCTGCACTCGGTGGGGAGCCTGCTTCTCCCTCTCCATCTGGTGCTCCCCATCCTGCTCATGCTCTCTCTCTGTGTCTCTCTCTCAAATAAATAAATAAAATATTTTTTAAAAATTAAAATTAAAAAAAATTAAGTCACAGGGATGAAAAATACAGTATAGGGAATACAGCCAATAAGGTCATAATATACAGTGTATGATGACAGATGGTGAATATATTTGTGGTGGACACTGAGTAATATATAGAATGGCTGAACACCTGATATAGATATGTATAGAAGTGTTGTACATCTGAAACTAATATAACACTGCATATTAATTATATTTCAAAAAATTTGGTAAAAATAAATAGCTAAATAACTAAATAAATAAATATTAGAGATCTTACCAAGTTACAAAAGATATAATATAAATCGTGAGTGCCAATAATTAGGGGAATACATTTTATTATACTCAAAGGAAATTCAGAAATTATTTTATCAACCAAAACGTATAAAAGATCATTTTTTGGAAAAATCATAGATAAAATGGTTTTGTTAAAGGTCTTCACTCAGAATTTATCTACAATCTTGAAATTAAATTGGGCAACAACTGGTGAAATAATATATTCCTTAACAAATTTTAACAACTGAGATTCATCTCATCAAAGAACAAAGATGATCTGGATAGATTCTAAAGAATTTTAATATTCTTACCCATAGCAGCAATGGCTTGATTCAATTCATGATGTTCCACTGTGCCACTGTGGTCTTGATCAATAGTTATGAAGTTTTGCTTCCAGGCATTAAGAGCTGCCCAAAGTTCTTTGAATTCATTAAATCCCATTTTCCCTGTGTAATCTCTCTGATAGTTTTATTAATAAAAATAAGTTTTGATACCAAAGAGAATTTACTTGACTCAAAACTGTAAATCACTGACTAAAAAATTGTTAGTATGCTTCTGCAAGTTAGCCAGATTTAGCATATGAATAGATTCCTGCGTAAAAATGGAAAAGTATGGAATTCAAACAGGATCTTACAAAGTATTTTTAAAGTCTCCAATTTACTATGGGGCCATTTATAGCCAACAATTGCTTGGTTATATTCAGAAAGCAATTATTCTATATTCTAGTATTTTCTATTTTTATTCAAGGATACATCCAACATGGCGATCATAATTCTGCAGGTTTCCAAACTGAAGGCTATAAAACATATTTATTATTTGAATCGGAGTCTGCCCAATTTTAAATATGTAAAATTATGACAATTTCTATTTCATAAAACAAAATGTTTATAAATTGCCAAAAATACACAATCACCCCTTATCAACAAACTTTAAATGTTAGGCATCCCTAGTGGAAAAAAAAAGATAAAAATAAAAATCACTACTACTTCAAGCTACTCACATCTAGTCAGGGGATTTGGGGATAACTAAAAATTACTGTCACAGGGGAAAGGAGAGCTTCAGTTTTCCTAACACAAATGATAAGTAGGTTTTAAGTAGAAGTCTGACATATACTGAGATCACAAAACTTGAAGGAGTTAGAGATTTGATTAAAGCTTGGGGTGAAGGACTGGCCTATGATTACATCTGAAAGGCAGATGAGGGCCAGATCATAAAAGTCTTGAATGCCACCCTAACGCTTTAGACCAAAGGAAGTCACTGAAGAATTTTAAGGAGCAGAGGGGCAATTCTAAAATTTCCAATCCAGAAACATTCACTTACACTGAACAGACTACAGAGTAAAGTAAGATGAACCTAGATATAGGTAAATCATTTGCTAGTTTACTACAATCAATCAAGTAAGAAAAATATGAGCTTCTGATCTGAAGCAGCTATTTTCCCTTGGGGGAAAGAAAAGGCAGGAAGAAAAAAGTAAATATAAACTATATTAAAATCTTGGCTTATAAGAAATATTACCACTTTCATATCTATAGAACTATAACTGAAGACTCACTAGGTAGAATTTAATTTTTCTAATCCTCATCACAATTGCATTGAACTGGTAAGCTGATTTACCTCAAGACCAATTATATCAGTCCTGATAAAAGAGATACTATGTCAGCACTATTACTAAAGCTTACAAAGTTCTTGTTAGTAGCTCCTTAAAATGAATGAATAAATAAATAAAAATGCTTAAAATTAAGTTATCTAATTTTAAAATTTCTAGTTAAAAATTTCTATTTGAAATTTTTATAAATAAAAAACATTTCAGCTAAATTTTAAACCTATTAGAAAAAAATCATAGAACATTCTACAAGTTAAAATAGCTGATTTTCTTTATACAGTGTCAATGTTAGAATAGGTGATTACAATATTTTCAGACTGACAATTCAACAGACACTCAATGAGCATTCACTATGAGCCAAGTAGTATGATTTGGTGATTTCACAGAAACATTCAAAAGTACTGTAAGTCCCAATTTTACAAATGAAGAAACAGAAGCCCAGTATAATAAAGTTTCCCAAGTTCATAGAGCTAATAAGTGGAAGAGTCAGGATTGGAGCCCAATGCTCCTTCATACAAATACTACTCAAGTGGGAAGAAGGAGGGTGGCAAAGTTACCATGAGGACTCTGGATGGCATTCCATCATTTTGTCAAGCAAATGATATGTTTTGCTTTCAAGTTAACATGGCACACATCCATTACATGGGAAAATCTGAATATATGATAACAAATGGCAAACACTGAGTCTTCAAATAAGCATATCTTCAATCACAAAATAGGACTGAGTATACGTGTATATAAGATGAAATATTTTTGATAAAGAATAGAGAAGAATTTTCAGGAAAGTTAATAGATTTTCATTTCCCTCAATATCCCATCAGAATGGGCAAAAAACTAAATTTTCTAAAGTCATAAACCATTAGAAAAAAACATGAGACAGAAAACAGAAGAAAAGAATTATGTAACTTGGAAAAGTAGGATGGATGGAAGTTAACTAACCTAGATCTGAGATAGTGGCTTGATGAACACCCAATAAGAAAAGCTGAAAAGGAGCCTGATTATCCAGGAGAAGAACCAAACATGTAAGAATTAGTATTATATGTGAAAATGGGTGTACAGGTAGAGCGAAAAATAGAAGGACCAACTGAATATCCATTTAAAGAGGATTTAGAGCCCCAAATTCCCTCCTTGCCTCAGCTCCATAGATGGATGCCATGTCTAATCTCACACCAGCAAAAATCTAGGGATTTAGTGTCTGGAGAATTCTTCGAATTTCAGGATACCAGGCACATATCCAAAGCCCTAACCACTAACCAATAACCAGTCCCCTCTAACCCTGATACTAACATTCACCCTAACATTAACCCTAACACTCTCTGGAGAGGTCTCTGAACTGCAGGACACCAGACACATAACCTAACACTAAGCCTAATCCTAACTCTAATCTTAACCACTAACCAGTAACCTACAACCCCTAAACCTAACACTAACACTAATCCTGACTCTACCCTAACTCTAACCCTAGATCTGAGAAAGTGGCTTTTGAATACACAAGAAGAAAGCCGAGAAGCAGCCTACTTCTCCGTGAGAAGATCCCGAACATTTAAGAATTGGTAGTATTTCTGAAAATGGGTATGAAGGTAGAGATAAAAACAGACCAGCTGAATATCTATTTAGGGAGCATTTAGAGCACCAAATCCTCTCTGCCTCAGATCCAGAGATGTCTATAATATTTATTCTAACCTCAGCAAAACCTGGGAATTTATACTCTGGAGAGGTCTCTGAACTGCAGGATATTAGGGACATACCCAAACCCCTAAATCCAATCCCCTAACACCTAACCTTGAACCCAAACCCTCACCCTAACACTAACCCTAACCCTAACCATCTGGAGAGGTCTCTGAACGGTAGAATACCAGGCACATACCCTACCTAACCCTAACCCTGACCCTAACTCTCACCCTAATCTTAACCCTAGATCTGAGAAACTGGCTTCCCAAACACATGATAAGAAAAGCTGAGAACCAGCCTAATTATCCTAGAGAAGACCCCAAACATTTAAAAATTGGCAGTATTTTCAGAAAGCAAGTGTTAAGATAGAGATAAAACCAGGAGGACCAACTGAATATCTATTTAAAGAGTATTGAGAGCCCCCAACCCTCCTTGACTCAAATTGGTAGATGGCTGCCATGTCAATTCTCACCCCACCAGAAGTCTGGGGTTTTATTCTCTGGAGAGGTCTGGGAACTGCAGGATACCAGGCACATACTGGAACCCTAACCCCAGGCTATCTGGTAAAAATAAGGCATTTAAGTGACAGTTTATCAAAGACTGAGAACCTTGCTGAGTCTTCCCTCCTCCTTTCCTACCAGACAACCAGCCCAAAAGGAAATCTCTAAACATACTGTTGCATAACAAACTGCCCCACCAAACCACCAGATGTGGAAGTCTACAGTCAATACCAAACCATGACCTCAGAGCTTCTCACCTGCATTTTAGTTCAATATGTGCAACTAAGGATCATCAGACACCCGAGAAAAGCCATCTAACATGAAAGACAACGAAACAAACTGGAAAAAAATTTGGAGGAAACACAGTTGGTGAAAGAAGAAAAAACTCTGAAAAATGCATTAGCAACAAATACAAAAATACAGTTTCAGAGAGATAGGGAAGACATCACATACATGAAAAAAGAAGAGCAGCTCTTGCATTTTAAGAACATGATAGCAGATAAAAAAAAAAAAAAACTGAATAGAAGATTCAAAAAATAAAGCTGAGGAAATCTCCCCACAGAGGAAAACCAGAGATAGGAGAAAAAAATATTAAGAAAAGTGACCAGTCTAAATGAGAGACATTCCAGAAGCAAAAATTGAGAAAACATCACTAAAGAAAATGTCTCAGAACTAAAGCAAATGAATTCCCAGTCTGGGAATGCCCACTGAGTTCCCACACAACACAACCAGGCACATCATTATGAAATTCCAAACCTGGCACGAAGAGAAGATCTCACAAGCCTCCACAGTGAAAAAACTGACATACTGGCAGGAAACAGAAGATAAAGTAACAGTGGATGCTAGAAACAATGGAGCAATGTCTTTAAAATTCTGAATGAAAATGATCTGTAATGCAGAGTTCCATACCCGGTCACTTAATTCTGTGGACAGAACGAAAGCATTTTCAGATAAAGTCTAAAAAGACTTTCCTCCCATGCACTCTCTTACTGAGAAGCTAGTTACTTTTATATTTTATTGTATTTTTTAAAATGACTGGAGATGAAATAAAAGGGAGATCCAACTCAAAAGGGCATGGAAAGTCAGTTCCAGAATGATGGTGAAGGAATGATAGGTTTGCAGCTATGCATAGAAAGTAGACCACAATAAAAAGCTCCAGAATGATGATTAATTTCAGAAAAAGTAAAACAGTATATAAAAAGGAAAATTAATCATACATTATCACAAGACAGAAAAAGAACATTTAGAAAATAACAATAAGACAAGTACTGATTACTGACCTAACAAAAATTACTATACAGCTATATTGGATGGAGTAAGATTGGGAAGCATTCCAGTGTGGAGTACTAGGACAAGAGTGAGTTTCAAGTTCCAAGAGAGTTAATTCTCATCTTCCATAGCTGGATATCAATTGTTAATCATTAAAACTGAAAATCTATAGTGATAAAAGGATGCTATTTTGAGATCCGGAGGCAAATTTCAAAAGAATCAGCTGCAAAAGCTGAATGAGACTTCCTCTAAGAGTGGTTAATATCAGGGAGATAATTATGCACAAGGAACAGTTATTTTCACAATAAGCTTTGCATAACTATTTGACCCTTTAAATTATGTGCATATACAACTGTGAAAAAAGATTTTAAAAAGTATTTTAAAAGGGGGGGGGGAATGATCTCACGAGAATAAGTTCCATTAATTCCAGACTGTGTCAAACATTTCTGAAGTTCCTCAGCATCCACTTCACCATCCTGTCAAAAAATAATTATAATCAGATTTAATGCACAATTATATCAAATCATATTAACATGCTGATTGGCTGTTTTAGGCCAATCAATAAATATGCATTCTTTAAAACATTACAATCAACTACAAAATTATAGAGGTAATTACTGACAGCAAAGGCATATTACAAAACAGCATACAAAATAATTTTTTCATAATCAACTTATATTCTATTAATATTTAAGCACTTCAAGTATAATTTATTTTTTCTACTTCTGAGAAACAGCATAATCATTCTGACCTATAATAGGTCAAAATATTATCTTGTGAGAATCATTGTACCTCTACTTAAAATGGAAAAATGACCAAAATGTGTTCAGAAAAAACTCAAAAATGTTCCCCTAATGCCCTTCTCATGGGATATGAAGCTGTAACTGGAAGGAGAGAATAACTTCCCCCCCACCCCCCCCATTACCCCCAGCAAAATTTTGGAGTCATACTGCATCTTGTTGCTATTCTTCTGATTATATCCCAAACACTCTCGTTTGAACTTATTATGGGAAATAAAATTTTTTTAATGCAAACAAGAAATCACAATGGAAGTGAAACAGGTTGAATATTCTCATTATGTTTCAGTACCTCATCCTATTTTCTACAAAAATATACAGAGTAAATTACTTGGAAGCATCATAAACACTGTCATAAATGCAAAACAACAGCTCTGATATAGGATCAGGGAAGCAAATTTAAAACAGGACCTTTGTAAGAGTTCATTTTTGTAAGAGACCTGGGAAATAAAGAAAATTTTTACAACCAACTTCCAAGAAGTATTATAAATACTCATATTCTAATGAATCTTTAACAAGGAATTCCTTATAACAAAAATTCCAGTGGTTCTCTCAGGAATTAAAAAAATTAAATTCTTTCCATTGGATCATCCATGTGCCTACAGAGAGTATTTAAGTGTTCCTTTCTCTGCCATGCATAGTTCCGGGATTTGATTACAAAACTTCAATAAATTCTAGACTAAGAAAATTACTTTAAAAAAATTAGCCATATGTTTAGAATTAAAAGTAGGTTAGCAACTTTCCCTCCAATGATAAACTAGAAGGAATTTTTATTTAAACAATTACCTACTTTCCTATTATATCAAACCATTATTATATTTCAAGACTTTGAAAAACTACGCACACACTTCTAACATGATCTAAGAAATCATCAGTAAATAAAACAAAACAAACAAAACAATCAGTGAGGTCCTCAGCTGCCACTGTCAATGGTATCTCACTGAAATGATGGCACAGATGCCAAGTCACTGTCAGTTACTGCAGAGTGAATTTTGAAAACACTCTTTTACAAATTACTAAAACAGAAGCAAAAGAAGGAAATGACTTTTCTCTTTTTTAATTTAAAAAGGTCTCCTATCTTCACTACACTAAATATAACATGTTTATAAATTGCCTCTTTCTTTAACTTTCTTTTTTTTTTGAAGATTTTTTTTTTTTTAGATTTTATTTATTTATTTGAGAGAGAGAGAGAGACAGAGATAGTGAGAGAGAGCACAAGTGGGGAGGAGAGGGAGAAGCAGGCTCCCCACAGAGCAAGGATTTATTTGTCAGAGAGAGAGAGAAAGAGACAGAGAGCACAAGCAGGGGGAGCAGCAGGCAGAGGGAGAAGCAGGCTCCCTGCTGAGTAAGGAGCCCGATGTGGAACTCGATCCCAGGACCCTGGGAATCACGACCTGAGCTGAAGGCAGACGCTTAACCGACTGAGCCACCCAGGTGTCCCTTTCTTTAACTTTTCTTAAGCGGGAAAATGATACTAAACCTGAGAATAAAATTAGTGAGAATTACTAAGCTTCATCAATTTTATTCCTCATTTATAAAAATAACACATTGTGCAAACAGGCTCAAAATTAAAACTTTCTATAAAAGAGCAATTCGAATTTACTAAAACCCTGACCAATACAATTAAAATGAAGCAAATCAATCCTATGTGGTCCAATGATAACAGGAGCTTCTTTTGTAACATTTCACAGAAAAGTCCACTTAGCACATAGAGGACCTTTCTCTGGATTCTTTCTGTACATTCAAAGACAAAGAAGGGACCCTGAAGAGTATGGAAATTCTTTTGTAGAAAAAGAACAAAGAGGGGCGCCTGGGTGGCTCAGTCGTTAAGTATCTGCCTTCAGCTCAGGTCATGATCTCAGGGTCCTGGGATCGGGCCCACATCGGGCTCCCTGCTCGGCGGGAAGCCTGCTTCTCCCCCTCCCACTCCCTCTGCTTGTGTTCCCTCTCTCGCTGTCTCTCTCTCTGTCAAATAAATAAAATCTTAAAAAAAAAAATTTAAAAAAAAGATTATAGAGGAAGCAAAGTTGAAAAGTAGTAGGTTCAAAAGACCCAGAAAAAGTCATTATAAATTTGAGTTAAGGAATATAAATAGTATTTTAGTCTTTGTTAACCTTTTTGAATGAGTGAAACTAAGAAACACATCTCACTGTTTTCTCTCCCACAAAATAAAAAAAAGAGCTTTAAACTCCATGCATCAAATTTCTACATGCTTATTTATCTGCAAGGTCTATGCTTCCTTCCCCACACTGCTTTGCACTGCTACAAGGTAGAATGCAGTCTGTCTGTGTCTTGTACTTTAGAACTGAATGTGTAATCTTCCTATGAAAAACCAAGATTATTATTTTACGAGTTCAGAATTAAATGCTATAAAACTCAGGGCATTTTCCATTACATTCATCAAAAGGTCCCAGTGCAGGGGCATCTGGGTGGCTCAGTCTGTTGAGCAGTCTTGTTTCCCCTTCCGATCATAATCTCAGGATCCTGGGATTGAGCCCCAAGGGCGGTTCCACACTCAGCTGGGAGTCTGCTTGAGAGTCTCTCCCTTTCCCTCTGTCCCTCCCCCCACTTTCTCTCTCTCCCTTTCTCTGTCTCTCAAAAATGAATAAATCTTTTTTAAAAATTGGATATTTATTCATCATAGATTTTTTGCATTAATTTTTTAATATGGGGTTAAAACATTATTTATCACAATTATTAAAATTTTTAAGCCCCCTTCAATTTAAAGGTGAGTCTCTCATTTGCCTTACCCTAGCTGGACCTTAAGCCACTTAGCAATACAACAGCAAGTTAGGGGACCTTCTATGGCAATGGAGAAGGAAAATAATTGTGAGAGAAAAAGACATTTATTTCTCTAACTAAATATATGTGAGGCTCATTGCTTTATTTGAATAGTTTCTGTTTTTCAAACTGTATGAAGCTAATTTATACCTATGAAATTCCAAACTTAAATTGGGTTTGGGTACATCACATAGAAGCAAAAACTAGGAAGTGGAGTGAGGGCAGATGTGAAGTCGGGCAGGGGGCATGCTTCTGAGGACTTCACAAGGCATGGGGAATGTGAGTGGCTCACTGCCTGAAAGCAGGAAGTGAGACGGGACATTCTACTCAGGACAAGGGGCAAAACAAAACAAACAAAATATACTATAGACTGTTGTCTGATGATACCACTTCTGAGAAGTGGAAGGCTTAGGAAAGCAGGACTAAAATGCTAAGCTAAGCTACCCCCCCGTTTGCTGATGGGATCTGCAATACCACTGCCAGGTAGGTGGTGTATTTCATGAACTGTCATGAAATCGGATTCTGGACACAATCAAGGTGGGGACAATCACAAAACCACTAGATAGGGAAGAATGACATGAGGACCAAAGCTACTTTGTACAGACAGTTAAGGAAAGCCTCACCGAGGCTGATAAAGTGAATTCACCTATAACTGAATCACTGATGGGTGAATTTCCTTATAGGGTGAATTGACTTATTCATTCATAAAGTGAATTTCGAGGAAGATCTGAAGGAAGTAAAGGAGCAAGCTATGCAGATATCTGAGGGAAGAGTGTTCTAGGCCTGAGCTGTCCAATATAGTGGCCACTAGCCATATATTCCACTGTGCACTGAAACATGGCTAGTCTGATCTGAGATGTTCTGTAAGTGTAAAATACATGCCAGATTTCAAAGACTTAGTAACAACAAAAATATACCACACCCTATTAATAACTTATATTGATTACATATTGGTATATTAGTATTTCTGATATATTGGGTTAAATAAAATATATTATTAATTTCACTTTTTTGTTTTTACTTTTTAAATGTACTAACAGAGGCTTCAAAACTACATATGTGGCTTATGTTTGTGGCTCTTGTTATGTTTATTTTGGACAGTGCTGTTCTAGGCAAAGAGAACAAGCATAAAGATCAGAGAATGCTCTCTCAGTGTTGCCATAATCTTCGCCTGTTTACCTTTAGCACTTCTTTCCTGGTACCATTATCATTCCCTGTGTGTCTGTCTCCCTTACTAGGCAGAACTCTTCTAAGTTAGGATCTGAGTTTCACTCATCTTTGCATCCCCAAGCCCTAGCACAGTACATAGTACAAAGCAGGTTGGTTGTCTGGTGGAATGAAGACAATTACCACTGGTTCTTCGTTCAACTATAGTCATTTCTAACAGTTTGTGGCCACATACATTTACTATTTCAAAAGGCTGAAAATATTACAACCTCGCATTCAAGTGTCGATTAAATTTTAAAAATCTAAAATCTAATTAATGAGTGAAATTCTATTTTACATGAGCTTTTTCAGTATTCTGGGGGTCCGAAAAACAACCTGAACAGCTTTTCCACAGTTATTACCAACAGAAAGCATTCTCCTAGTATACTACACTACCTCATACTCATATTTCATACATTTTATGAAAACATGTTACCTTAATTGACTAACAGACTAACAAGTAATGTCTTCCTAAATTATATGTAGGAAATCTAAGTGATCTTTTTGGATCTCCTTACTGCAGTTTGAGCTAATGATAATGACCAACTCTATAAACCCTAACCAAAAAAAGAGCATTAGTGGTAGAAAACTACATTTTCTAATTGAATAAGAGCTTTAATTATTAGTTAGATAATGAACAAAAAATTAGTTGCCATTGTTTAGGTTAACTAATAGGCAGCAAGATTTTGAAATGATACCCAAGTTCAAGTTCTCTTTGTTCAGTTATTAAACCTTAATCTCCACTTACTCATTTATAATAAAAGGGTACATCCATCCTGCCTACCTCACAGAGCTGCTGTGTGAAAAAGCAGAAGCAGTATGCACACTCAAGTTAAAGTTGTTGGTATTATTGACATGCATGTGTGTGTGTGCGTGTGTGTGTGTATGTGTATTTGCAAAGGTACAAACCAGAATTTCCCCTTATCAACTGATGATTGAATCACTACCGTTCAAAAAATGTTATCCAATAAAAAGGAACACTGTAGAAACCTTTAATTGGACATTTCTCATAGAACATCATTAATTATGAGATCATCAAAAAAAAAAAAATACAGATGCAGAAGTGAGTTCAGTAAACTCACCTGATTCCTTAAAGCTAGGCAAAATTCAACATACAGAAGAATTGCTTAAATATCTAGACTGAACATTGAAGATGAGACAGTTTATGCATCTATCTATTTTTTTATTTTACATTTTTTTATTTTATCATGTTATATTAATCACCATATATTACATCATTAGTTTTTGATGCAGTGTTCCATGATTCATTGTTTGTGTATAACATCCAGTGCTCCATTCAGTAGGTGCCCTCTTTAATACCTATCACCATGCAATACATGCCCTCCTTAATACCCATCACCAGGCTAACCCATCCCCCTACCCCCCTCCCCTCTAGAACCCTCAGTTTGTTTCTCAGAGTCCATAGTCTCTCATGGTTCATCTCCCCCTCTGATTTCCCCCCCTTCATTTACCATCTAATACATTTATTGAATAATTAATATATTCCTAGTGCTTACTTGATAAGGGAGAAAATGACAAGGGCCATGTCCTCGTGGAGTTTTACTATTCAAAAGCACAAAACTAGGGGTACCTGGGTGGTGCAGTCGGTTAAGCATGCCACTGTTGGTTTCAGCTGAGGTCATGATCTCAGGGTCATTAGATCAAGCGCCCCCACCCCCATCAGGTTCTGCACTTAACGCAAAGACTGCTTGAGATTCTCTCTCTCTCTCCTTCTCCCTCTGCCCCTCTCCCCACCTAAAATAAATAAATCTTCAAAAGCACAAAACTATGAAAAATTTAAGGCAAGTATCAAATAGTACAAACATGCAAATTATTGTTCACAACTGTAAGCCTGAAAGAGTTCAGAAGTCAAATAAAAGTCTCTAAATATATATGCCTAGTTCCTATGTTTTAAGTTGTAATTTTGTAAAATAGATTATATAGTCAATTATAGATAACAGATTTATTCCCCACATTACACTACTTAAGAGCTCTTTGCAGATAAGAATGGTATCATGTAACAGCATTGCATTTAGCTGCAAAAAACAGAAAATACTGGAGCGCCTGGGTGGCTCAGTCATTAAGCGTCTGCCTTCGGCTCAGGTCATGATCCCAGGGTCCTGGGATCGAGTCCCACATCAGGCTACCTGCTCGGCGGGAGGCCTGCTTCTCCCTCTCCCACTCCCCCTGCTTGTGTTCCTGCTCTCACTATCTCTCTCTCTGTCAAGTAAATAAATAAATAAATAAAATAAAATCTTTAAAAAAAAAAAAATAGAAAATACTATCAAAGAGGTTTAAACCAATAAGGGTTTATTGTTTTATACAAGAAGTCTGAGGCTAGGCAGAACTGTATGGCAACTTCACAATGCCATCACTCTCTTTACATTTTTCTATATATCCCATCCAAAGGCCTTTATCTCAAGCTTGTTGACTCAAGGTACCAAGATCGCTGCCGCACTTCCATACCTCAAGTTTCCCTTTCCAGGCAGGAAGAATTAAGGAGCAAAAAGGGCCAACACTAGTTGCCAGGAAGGTTTTTCTCATTTAGGAAAGGAAAGCATCCTAAAGAAATTACACCTACATCGCAATGGCCAGTCCTGTGGCATACGGCTACCTTTACAAGATTCAAAGGCATCCGGGATGGTATTAGGGTTTTTCCCACTCCTACCACAGAAGGGAAAAAGAGGTTGTGAATGGAATTGGGGTCACCAAAATAAAGTGTCCACCATATATAATAATTCTGTGTATATCCTCTATTTCTAGCCAAGCATATGGGATCTAGTGAACACTAAAGTGAATGAATAATAAATGAAAAATGTTATCAAAGTTTTGTGAAATTCTAACTATTCCATAAGTTTTTCTTGGTGAGTCTAAAAGAAGAGATACAGACTGTGACTAAGACTCAAGTGTAAATCTGTCTCTTCTCACTAGTCTGATATTTGAACCTCCATTCTGCTCTGTTGTCTTTACCCTTTCTTGACTGGTTTACCATCAAGTCTCTCCCAGAACCATTCACAATTTAAAAATCTCCTTTTTGATACTCTGTCCCAGCTTCTTCAAGGAGACTAACATATAGATCACGTAGATCTCTTTTCCCCAATCCTCTTTGGCTCAGTCGTCATGCACCACAGCTTCCAGTCTTAGTGAAATGAACAATGTGTCAGGCATCACACTAACAGACTTCTAAAAATGAAATAATTGGGGCGTCTGGGTGGCTCAGTCGATTAAGTGTCTGCCTTCGGCTCAGGTCATGATCTCGGGGTCCTAGGATGGAGAGCCCCGCGTTGGGCTCCCTGCTCAGTGGGGAGTCTGCTTTTCCCTCCGCCCCTCACTCTGCTCATGCGCTCTCTTTCTCTCTCACATAAATAAAATCTTTTAAAATAAATAAATAAATTTTTAAAAATTAAAAAAATAAAATAATTATGACTACCCTCATCTCTGATCTCAAGAGAAAAATTAGTCTAGATAAGTTTAAAATATAAATTTCATATACATTTAAAATGACATACTAAGTAATAGAGTTGACATTTCTTTTATTTTTTTTGAAGATTTTATTTATTTATTTATTTAATTGACAGAGAGAGAGAGAGAGAGAGACAGCAAGAGAGGGAACACAAGCAGGGGGAGTAGGAGAGGGAGAAGCAGGCTTCCCGCCAAGCAGGGAGCCCAATGTGGGGCTCCATCCCAGGACCCTAGAACCATGACCTGAGCCAAAGGCAGCAGAGTTGACATTTCTTTTAAACAGCAATCCTTTCAAAAACTGATGTTTGTGCCATATATTTAACATCTCACCTGTCCAGCAACAGCAGTGAAGTATGTCCACATGGGGTCTCCCACTGAGGAATAACTATCAGAATATGCTGGGTATCCACCACGCAGCAGGTTTGGCCCTGTTCCTGGCACTGGCTGTCCCATTTGCATCTGCATTCCTGGCATCTGACCACTAAAATTTCCAAACTATAAGAGTGAAAAAGGTTAAGGTTACTAATACAAATATTACCTGTTATCCACCAAAATTGGCTTAAAAGAAAATACTTATGAGGAGTCCACTGAAAAGCAAGAATAAAAAGAAATACTAAAAGCAACCAAATTCACTATCACAAAAGCTGTTAGCTACAAAATGCTAGATGTCCTGCATTAGGACATAATTCAGTTCATTAACACATTATCCAGCATCAAAAGAAGTGTAACAGAAAAAAGAACTTTCTAGCCTCTGAGAACTTAATCTAACAGATGAGCATAAAGCACACTTTTTAAGTGTTTACCACCAACATCACCGAAATAAACAAAAAGCAAAAAAATTTCACCTACAGTCAAACTAAGAAGTAGTATACTTCAGATACATACTTAGAAGAATACATGGTAAATATAATGAAACTGTGAACTAGTCATGGGAAACTGTATAGAATGCAAACATCCTCTCCATCAGAAAATATTTATTTTTAAAAAAGCAAGACACCAGTAAACAGATCAATCAAGTGATTAATTCCAACAACAATCTTCAAAACTAATAAGAAAAACAGTAAGAATACCAACAAAAATAATACACAGCTAATATTTACTGAGAGTTTATAGCCCAGGTACTAAGTACTTTCCATTATGTGCTTTGATTTTCCAAAAACTTTATGAGGTATGAAACTACTATGTCCTTTTTGTCATTGAGAACCTAAAACTTCACAAGGTTTCCTAAATTGGCTAAGGTCAAATAACTAGTAAGAAGGAGACCATGGTTCAAATGCAGGTATTCTGATGGTTGTTTCCTACTATGGCTATGGCTTCTCTCTACTTTTCTCACTTTGGAACTTGGTATACATTTTTAATACCTTAGAGAGGCATTTTACTGAGCATTTTTATGAGTCTGGAAGAGAAAGAAGTATCAAGATTGTTTGTTATTCCATATTGAACAAAAATCTTGACCTGCATCCTTGAAGGATGATTTCTGCCAGAAGGCAAAAAGAAAAAAAAAAAGAATTCTAAAATGGGGGGGGGGGGGCGGGAGGAGGGAGCGGGAAGCAAGTAGTCAAAAGGTCGGATACTACCAGTAGTTTGAAGAGCTGTGCGGCTGGATGTATAAGGGTAAAGGTATGGAGGAAGTGTTGGAACTCCAAAAAATGCACTTCAAACTCCAGGAAATACACAACTAAGTTACGAAGCAATGAAGTACAAGTAAACAGTAAATGTTAAAACAATATAATGGATTAAAAACAAACAAAAAAAGATGGGATTTTTTTCAAAGTTGCTTCTTTTAAAAAGAGAAAAGACCATCAAAAGAGACCCAAAAAGGCAATTTCAGGAATTAAGGTATATAACCACAAATTACAAACTTCCAACTCCCAAAGGAGACTAAGGATAAACAATTATGTAAGAAAGAGAAACCTAATCCTTCCCACCTCCCAAAAAAGTCTAGAACAGATTGCCCTTGGTAGAATAGTAAAAACTAAGAGCCATTTGGCATATCTTAATGTATCCATAAGCAACTTAAAGGACAGAAAACAAGAAGTGGCCAAAAATTCAGAAAGAGGACGTCTAGCAAAACTGAGGGAGGTGGGGGTGGACCACAAAATATTACTGGAACAAGACAAGGGCGCTTTTGTTCCTCCAATGCAGGAGGAAATTTTCCAAAATCACAGCACCATCCCTGCCTCACAAGGACTCGCTTGAAGGGGCCCCCAGGGACCAGAAAACCTGTGGCTCCCTGCTCAACCCTGGCCCCAGGTTCCAACACCGCGCGGTGCCTCAAGCCCGCGGAGTACCAGCGAGCCGTCAAACCGAGCGGAGGGAGGGGGCGGACCCCGCACGCCGGCACCGCCCGCGGAGGCGCCCCACCCCGCGGGGGCGGAGGCGGGGGAGAAGCTGCCGGGACTCACCGCTCCTCCGTATCCCGGGTAGGCCATGACGACGCGAGCAGGCGTCCCCCGTCACCCTTCCGGTCAGCGTCAGCCCTACTGGGGAAAGGCGAAGCTGCAGGTGCAGGGCAGATGCAGACGCAGGTGAGGCCGAAAGACGCGCTGGCAACGCGGTTTACTTCCCTGAGAGCGCCCCTTCCCGGAGTCCAACCCCGCCCTTCTCGGTTCCGATTGGCTGAGCTCCGCCCTTCGGAGCCCAGGCAGCCGAAGCCCGCTCCTTCCCGGAGTCTAGCCCCACCCATCTCGTCTCTGATTGGCCTCACGCACCCAGCCCCCTTTTGTTCGGCTCCTATTGGCTCGCTCAGGTCTCGCGCTCTCTCCTCACTGAACTACAGAAGGCTTTGCTCCGGGAGCATTCACTCTTTTTGGCTAGGCTCTCCGCGCTGAAGTGTCCTTTCTTCCGAGAACCCGCAAACCCGCCAGTCCATGACTTCTTTTAGTCTACTCCTCTGTTCTTTTGAGCTGGACTTCTAAATCTACATCTGTGAATTTCAAAACTTTCCGTTACTCACATTTATTTTTGCGTAGTGTTGATGTCACAACACCAAAACTTTGAAGGCTTTATCTCTGCCCCAAGGGGAGTGCTTCTGAGCTAAAACCCACTTGATGCGAAATTTTACCAAAAGGTTACTTGTAGTTTGGTGGATAAATGGCGAATGGAGTTGCCAGAGTTAGCAAATAAAAATACAGGATGTCCAGGTAAATTCCATTTTCAAATAAACAATGATTTTTTTAAATGTACTTATCCCAAATATCACACGAGATATACGCTCACTGTAAAAAAAAAAATCATTCACTGTTTATACATTAATATACAGGATAGCCTGTATATTTTCTGACAACTCTACCGATGACTCACTCTCAGGATGTGCCTCCTAATTATATCCACTGTTGGGAACAGCTTGGTTTTTATCACTTGGTGAAAAGTTAAACAGTTACTTTAATTTATTAAGTAATAGTAATTGACAGTTCTGCTTTTCTCTGGAACTCAGATGAATTTTGTAGCTCTGGCTTTAAAAGCACAGGATGCAATATACATACACCAAACAACAGGGCAGGTGTAGCTTTAGCTTAAAAACAAAGAAAAAGAGCAGGATGATATTATCTCTGAAGCATATGACAACCGCTAAAATGTTTCTTAAAAATAAGGATGTGGGGGGGGGAAAGGTTAGCTGTCTATTAGCAGAGGAAAACCACCTTGCAAAGCTGAGTAATAATTGCCCAGCTACACTACAGAGAAGGAACATGTTGTACCTTGTGAAACTTAATTTTATCAGGAAGAGGCAGAGAGAAAGGAAGATTGCTAATGTACAGGCCGCTCTTGAGAAAGTGTGTGTTAGTTCCTCTAACACAGTAAGAAATAATTTAGGCAATAAGGTTAGATTATTAGAATAAATAAATAGAGGGAGATGATAAAACCTACTTGATAAGAGGGAAAACATATGACTGTTAAAGCATCAAGTGATAATGCACTACAAAGCAAAACAAATTGTTGCAAGGTTTTATTCTAATTGAGAAATGCTCAGAGGGCATTGAGTGTTTTATATTTACAGTGTTAGTCTAAATCTCTGGTCAGAATTTTTGTTCATTTTTTTCATAATAATAGTCTTACATTTGTATTGCATTTATGTATGTTGGGGGTCAAGTCTCTATGATTCTCTTGCATTTCTACACACATAGTTTCAAAGATAGGGAGAGTATTTCCCTCAAGGGCAGAGAAATTTGTTGCAGGATAACAAAGGTAATCTGTCCCTCCAGGGCAAAGTTTGGGTTGGTTTGTTAGCATGACAGTCCTAAATTTGGACTTCTCCATTCTGATCCGAACCCTGGCTGCTTGTGCAGCACCTGCCTCGAAGCTCAGTTCAACCTGGGGACACTTGGGAGCAAGAAGAATCTATGAGAGCCTGAAGGTCACGCTGCCTGTGGTGCTATGAGTAATAAAACCCTTTGTCTCTCACAGAGGAATCTCATGCATCTGTCAACTTCTATGAAACTGTGGCAGGCTACCTGTTAGCTTACAAGTGGAATAAAATATCAGATCCCTCACAGTTCTTGGCAGTGTATCTCCTTAGAGAAACAGCTTCCTAGGGAAATTCCTACTGAAAGGCAGCAGAAGATGCCATTCCAAAATATGCCAGTTTGGCATAAGGATTATTTTGAATTGAAGGCAATTGAGAAGAAGCAGATAAAAGAAAAATCTCTCTGTTCTCCCTGTATTTGTCTAAAAGCAGGACATAAATTTACAAAAGTGTCCTTCTCCTCCCTCCCTCCCTCCCAGGAAGGACAAAGATTATTCCTCTGAGACAACTTTAGACCCTCAAAAATGGAGAAGATGCAGACTTAAATCTGCATAACAAATCTTACTCTTGTTTAGGGGCGCCTGGGTGGCTCAGTCCTTAAGCATCTGCCTTCCGCTCAGGTCATGATCCCAGGGTCCTGGGATGGAGCCCCGCATCGGGCTCCCTGCTCCGCGGGAAGCCTGCTCCTCCCTCTCCCACTCCCCCTGCTTGTGTTCCCTCTCTTGCTGTGTCTCTCTCTGTCAAATAAATAAATAAAATCTTGAAAAAAAAAATCTTACACTTGTTTACACTGCTTTTCCTGGTACCTCCCCACAACTAGCCTCCCCTCCCTTTCTTCCTTTTCTCTTTAGCTGAAGACGGTATCTAAGCTAGAGGCACCTCTGAGAGTTATTCATTTTTCCCTGGATATCTCCCATGTATACATGAGGATATATGTCAATAAACGTCTGGGTTTATTCTCTTGTTAATCTATTTTTTATTACAAGGGTCTCAGCCAAGAACTCAGAAAGGTAAAGGTAGAATTGCTTTACCTCTTGTACAGTACTGTGTACAATGTACCATGAGATACAAAGAGGTCTTTCAACACCACCATCTGCAGCATCTTTCTCTAAACTTCGTATTTCAAATTATAGGTTTTCTCGTATAGGAATTTAAAAATTCACTTGAGCCCAGAGCTTTTTTTTAAGTAATAGTAATGAAAATTTGTTAGTATTATATGACCAGTATCATTTTATGAAAATGTAATGTATAAAAAGCCCATTTGAAATTATGCACTTTTGTTTCAGAAAACACGCCACTATTCTATAAAAATAGCTACTTATAGAGTGAACGCTGTGTAGCAAGGCACTGTGTGCTATGAGGGGCCATTCCTCAAAACAACCTCATCGGGTAATCACCATTTCACACATGTGAAAGGTAAGGTGAAGACTTGTGTATCACTTATCCCCAGTTGTGCAGTTAGTAGCAAAGCTGAGATTAGAACCCAGGCAGCTTGGCTGTGGAATGAGTCTCTCTTTTTTTTTTTTTAAAGATTTTATTTATTTATTTGAGACAGAGAGAATGAGAGACAGAGAGCATGAGAGGGAGGAGGGTCAGAGGGAGAAGCAGACTCCCTGCCGAGCAGGGAGCCCGATGCGGGACTCGATCCAGGGACTCGATCCAGGGACTCCAGGATCATGACCTGAGCTGAAGGCAGTCACTTAACCAACTGAGCCACCCAGGTGCCCCGGAATGAGTCTCTTTAACAATGCATTTTCCCCTCCCTGCCCACTCCCAACCACAGCATTTCAAAACATAGTAAAAACGATTTACACTATAGGAGGAAATTATTTAAAGAGCAGAAAAACGGGGGCGCCTGGGTGGCTCAGTCGTTAAGCGTCTGCCTTCGGCTCGGGTCATGGTCCCAGGGTCCTGGGATCAAGCCTCGCATCAGGTCCTGGGATTGAGCCCCGCATCCCCGCATCGGGATCCCTGCTCAGCGGGAAGCCTGCTTCTCCCTCTCCCACTCCCCCTGCTTCTATTCCCTCTCTCGCTGTGTCTCTCTCTGTCAAATAAATAAAATCTTAAAAAAAAAAAAAAGAGCAGAAAAACGGCACACCAAGAACTAGACAAATAGACAAGAAAATGCATTGTTTTGACTAAAATTAGCCAATCACATTACTTCTCTTACACAGACATGTTTTCTGGTACATGTTAAGCTTTCATGATTATGTCTACCTATGGTATTTCTTCCATATCTTGGTGACCTTTGGTCTTACCATAAATTTAGATATTCAATTAACCAGTACATTTTCTAGTACACTATAAAGACTGAATTATTTATGTTTTCCTTTCCTATCTGTTGCTACCTCATTTGCTTTCCCTCTATATAGAAGGGGGGCTGGGGGTAAGTGGGGGATGGGAGAGACAAGGACATGAGAGTCAGTAAAATTTTACTGCTCCTCAGCAAACTTCAGTTCCAGAGCCAGAGGGTACTTAACTCATAGAAATTATTTATATGCTAAATTCTAAAACAAGATATACCAGCTAATGAAAAACAACATTGGGGTGCCTAGGTGGCTCAGTTGGTTAAGCGTCTGCCTTCAGCTCTGGTCATGATCCTGGGGTCTTGGGATCAAGCCCCACATCAGGCTCTCTGCTTAGCGGGGAGCCTGTTTTTTTCCTCTCCCTCTGCCACACCTCCTTGTGCTCTCTCTCTCTCTGTCAAATAAATAGATAACATCTTTAAGAAAAGAAAAAGAAAAACAACATTGATGGAGTTTATTTTATTTTTTAAACTTTTTTATAAGATTTTATTTACTTGAGAGAGAGCGAGAGAGCATGAGCAGGGGGAGCAGCAGAGGGAGAAGAAGAAGCAGACTCCCCTTTGAGCCGGGAGCCCGATGTGGGGCTCCATCCCAGGACCCTGGGATCATGACCTGAGCCAAAGGCAGATGCTTAACCCACTGAGCCACCCAGGCACTCCATGGAGCTTATTTTATATCATTAAGAAACTTAGACTGATTCATTTATTAAAAGACAATTTATTGAACATCTATAATGTAACACTAGTTTAGATGGGAAAAAAAGTACACCAAGGTTGGGGGAATGTTTTTGCTCTTCTGGACACTCACATTCTAGCAGGAAGAACAAACAACAATAAGTAAAGACAATAAATAAAGTAGATGGTATGTTAGGAGATGAAAAATGCTACAGAACAAAAGGAAAATGAAAGCAGTGGTGGGGGAGTAAGGTGATGATATGGGAAATAAGAGCAGAAGAAAAATTATTAAATTTCCTTACTATTTACAGCCCATTGACAAGTCCTTGAAACAGGCAGAGTGACATTTCTCTAGGGACTCAACTGCCTGGATGTTGACACTTTGCTAAGGGCAAAAGGCAATCTTAGCCAGACCCCCAGGATCCTGTAAGTCTACTTTAACATATAAAAATTCCTTTGGAAATTCCCTTTATCCTTACCTTCCAAGATACATGTTGGCAGTCATCCCCAATCATATGACCCACTGATATACATCTGAAGGGTCTCATGACTAAGATTTTGTTAGACAGTAATAAGTGACTTTTTCCCAACAACAGGTAGCCCCTCAAGGTCCTAGAAACCTTGTTTCCAAAATTCCTTAGAGACTTATGCTATCCCTAACCCCCTCCCAACTTGAAAGTATATAATGGGCCACTCCTCATGACCCCAGTGCAGCTCTTTCTGCACACGGGTCCTGTCCCCCTGTCCTTCCACCTTTTTGTACCAAAGACGTCTCAAGAATTCTTTCTTGGCCGTCAGCTCTGGACCTCACCAACATTCCAAAACTACATCATTTGGTGACCACGGGGGGATTCCTCTCACTCTAGAGAGCTTTCTTTCTGTTCTCACCTTCACTTAATAAACTATCACTTCACCCTTTGGTGTCCATGAGCTTCATTCTGTGACTCCATGAGCCCAGGACGCTGCAAGCCTGGAACGGTGACAGAGCAAGGTTGCAGTACAAAATGAGATGTTCAAGTAGCCTCAATAAGAAAGGGAGGGTTATGCTGCTAAAAAAAAAAAAAAGGAAGGAAGGAAGGAAGGAAGGAAGGAAGGAAGGAAGGAAGGAAGGAAGGAAAAAAGAAAGTGAGGTTTAAGCAAAGACTTGGCATGAGTAAGTTGGACATGTAGAAAGACTGTTCCAGGCAGAATTTGAAGGCAGAAACCTCCTGACCTGTTTAGAGAACAATAAGAAGGCCAGTAAGTCTGGCATGGATTGAACCAGAGGGAAAATCCAAGAGTGCTTACAGAGCAGGGACATTGGGGCAGATCACCCTAGGCCTTTACTGGCCATCGTAAAGACTTTATATTCTGGGTGAGATTAGAAGCCACTGAGGGTTTGGAGCTTTAGTCGTACATAATATGACTTAATTTGTAAAAGATCACTCTTTCATCTGTGTTGACAATAGACTGAAGGGGGTTAGCATAGAAGCAAGAAGACCTGATAGCAATCTGTTGGTAATTTAGAGATGGTGGTGTTCACCAGGGTATAACAGTTGAGACGGTGAGAATAGTGAAATTATTTTCTGTTTTTAGGAGATAGCCCTCAAGATTTACTGATGTTTTAGATTTGCCCTTCAATGACATGGTGACAAATACTCTCTCCTTGACCAAACTCTAGCCAGGTTCTTCTGAGCCCTCTTCTTGACTAGGCCTTAATCCTGGCCTATAAAGAGTTGAACAAACACTAACACATTTTGATGGCTCAAGGCTGTATCCCTAGGATGACTCCTCATTCTTGCTGTGTCCTCCGAGTACATGGGTGGAGAGACAGAGGAAGCAAGTTCTCTGTTGTCTCTTCTTATAAGGATATTAATGCCATAATGAGGGTCACACCTTCCTAACCTCGCCTAAACCTAATTACCATCCAATGACTCCTATCTCCAAATACCATCACACTGGGGGTTAGTGCTTCAACAAATAAATTTTAGGGGGACACAGTTCAATCTATAGCACACAAAATCTGAAAGGTGAGGATGAGGAGACAGTTATCACATCCACTGTTGTGTCGTCACCTTGGATCTGCTCTAGAATTTATCTATTTTATGCTAAAATGTATTCATATTCATTTCATGCCATGGTTTTGATTGATATACATGCAATAATTATCATACCTTTTCCAGAAATTATTGTGTCTCTATGCAATAATGTGTTTTACGGAATAATGAAGGCTCTATACGTGTTATTTGTATAAGGCATAAAAACTTGACAGTATAAAATGAAGCTATCCAGTAATAATTTTATTATAAGTCTGAAACTGTTGCAAATGCCTAAGGGTTAATGACCACTAGTGAGGACATAGAAAAGTAATAAGCTTCACAAATAAGACAGAAGTAAATATTATTTGCCATTTATTACTGAGACCAGCCACTTAACAAACTGACCTTATTCAGCTAAGCTTTCAACAACACAGTTTTTTGGTTTCTAATTCTGGTGATATTAAGTACTCTCTCGGCAGAAGCACAAACTCAAAAGCAATTTAAAAAACAATAATGCATATACAAAAAGTGTCAACAGGGCTCTTCAGAGAGGTGAAGAATGGTAGTTTCTGAATATATGCTTCCTCACTTGGATCATTAAGCCCTATTAAGCAATTTGGATTCAATGCAAACTTCCTTAGAAATTCTGTATATATATAAAATGTTGACCACACTATATGTCCACAACAAATGCTCAGTAAAAACTGCAACACTGATTAATAGCCTCCATAAAATAATTTATTATTCAGGCAATGTTAAATCCAGGTTTCATCCTTGTGAATATCAGTTGGACTCCATATTAATAACATGGGATCATACACTCACAAAACTGACTTTCTAGAAAGATAAAAATGAAGTAATGTTGACTGAAAACTTACTTTAGCTATCCATTTCGTTAGTAACTTGCTCACATACAATGTGAATTAAGCTACAGTGGTCCTGTTACAACCAAAAATACTTTAATCAGAAACATAAAAGTGGGGGCGCCTGGGTGGCTCAGTCAGTTAAACCATCGACTCTTGATTTCGGCTCAGGTCACGAACCCAGGGTTGTAAGATCAAGCCCGTGGTCGTGCTCAATGCTGGGCATGGAACCTGCTTAAGATTCTCTCTCTCTCTCTCTCTGCCCCTCCCTCCACCTCCCTCTCTAAAAAATAATAGATAAATGAAGTGCAGAACGGAACACATGGACGCTGCTTAAAAACCTACTTTAAAAAAATATAAAAATAAAAGTGGCCCAGTGCTTAAACAGATTATGGACTGGCTAAAAGCTGAGATCATCCCATTTCTACACTAATCCTTAGGTGTTTTGCATATGTATGAAGATAAGATTGCCCCTATCCCTCATCAATGTAAAACTATTGATAGGAATAAGACCTGGTAATAGAAATTTTAAAAATTAAAATCTATTTATTTATATAGCACATGATGCTTTTCAGAGCTATTTTGCACATTATCATATTTGAGCTTCCCCCAAATCTTGTGACATTAGTAGCCCCAATTATATTTTAAGAGGAAACTAAGATAATAATAAGTTGTATTGTGGAGGTAGACACACATCAAAACAGTTGCAAAATATTTTTAAAACAAAACATGACCTGATTAATTCATGTTTGAAAAATGACAACCTACAGTGTTCACATAGTTTTGAATGAGTGAATAAATAATGAATGAAGTCCCATGCTTAGAGATTTTGAAGTTGCTCAAAGCAAGAATTAAGCTATATAGCACATTATTATTGCTTGAGCTATACTAAATTAAAAACTGAACTGAATAAAAAGAAAAAAGTTTGGTATTCTCCTTGTACGGTCCCTGAGGATTGGAATTATAATATATACTAATATAAATAAGGACCCATGATCGGCGTTGGTGCCAGGCACAAACTGGGTGGATGTAAGGAGCCCAGTTAATGCCCCATCCAAGATCTGCTCTATTTAACCTACCTCGGACACTTGCTTTGCTCTCCAACCTTTATCCAAAAAACTGAGTTGCTGCCATATCCACCAGAAAACAGCAGATGGCACACTCAAACATAGTAATTGAGGAACTCTAATAAAAGTCACCATTTACAAAGGTGTTAACGTAGTTAACAGGCAGCAATAAAGAGTGATATAGCATCTCAGTGCAAGCTACAAGGAGGATCCATTACTGCCCTTAGGATGAGAGGGCAAGGCAAAGAAGCAGTGTTGAAACCTACAGACAGTAACTGTATGGAGAGGGTCATCTGACACATGACCTTTAGTAGAGGGATACGCGATGATGAACTGCACAGAAGGGAGCTGAGGGAGCAAATACTATAACCTCACTCTTTTCCCTGCCTCTGATCTCCTGTCAGTGCTTCCACTGGCTGATCTCAGTCAGAAGCCAGAGGGAAAGAATGTTCATGAATGTGTCCCAGGCCACAGTGGAAAGGAGAGGGGAGAGAGCATGGATCTTTAGGAGCAAGTGGGAAATATCATATACATTGAAGAAAAAGAAATCCCACAATTTACACTTACAATCCTGCCAAAACTTAACAACTCTTTTTTCTTTTTCTTTTTTTAAAGATTTTATTTATTTGAGAGAGAGAGCGTGAGCTAGTACAAGCAGGGGGAGCGGCAGGCAGAGGGAGAGGGAGAAGCAGGCTCCCCCGCTGAGCAGGGAGCCCAACGCGGGGTTCCATCCCAGGACCCCGGGATCATGACCTGAGCTGAAGGCAGACGCTTAACCGACTGAGCCATCCAGGTGCCCCAACAACTTTTCAATTAGAGACTCAACCCATTTAATTTTTATGTAAGGTATGACAAAAATGCAGGTAAACTGCATACAGTAAATATTTATAGAATAATTATATTGAATGGCGAATTAAATCCAAAGAGTTGATTAAACAAATAGGCTATATAGAAGTGTTGGGAGGGACGGTGGGGGGCAGAGAGAGAGAGAACAAGAACCTAGGTTTTTATTCAGCCACCATGATTCCAGTAAAGGAGAATGTAACCTAGCAACAGAAGCTTTACACAATGGTTTGCTCATAAATTGTTGAAAATGGTAGTTAGTGATATCAGAAAGCATAATTAAATGAAGAGAAGTTACCAAAAGGGCTGAATGGGGACACAGAGAGTAAATATCTAGGTAGATGGGTAAGAAAATGGTTCTTTAAATTCAAATTCCGATACAAAATACCTTTCTGCACATTTTCTTAAATAAATATGCATACAAAATAAAAGCTGTTTAGAAGGAAACAAAACTCATTTCTGCTGGAAAAGCATGTGCCTAAAATAGATCTTTTTCAGTATAAATTTGAAATAAGTAATTATGATCTCAACCTTTCAGGAAAACATATATCTTGAAGCTTCTGACCCTGTTATAGTTTCCAATAATGAAAAAAAAAAACCCCAGCTGATATTTAGATCAATTTTGACATTTCTTCTTGATTGATATTTGGTAACATATATATAAAACTATCAGCTAATCACATCATACAGATAATAAATTAATATCAATGTCAGAGTTAGGATGATTTATCTTTATTACTACTGATTTCATTCATTCACACACACATTCTGAGTTCAAGAGAATGTGTTAATTGGTATATTTACTTTATTTTCTTATTTTCTCTCTTCTTGATGCTCTGGCATCTAGGGCCTCTCTGACTACAGAGAAACTGGCCCTCCCAGGACTAGCCAATTCTCGGAGATAACAAATGACTCACCTTTCATATGTAAACTAGGCAATCTACTGCTCCTGCTGTAAACTACCTCCTCTCTCTGGCTCTTCCACCCCAAAAGACAGTGTTCCTCCACACTAATCTCCCCAGGGCCAAATACAGGCAGTTGGGGATAACCTCTATGCCCTAGAGCCCTCTAAAATTATTCAAACTAGTCCATTCTAACTCTGCTTACCCTCCCTTGCCTTGCCTTTCCCATAGAAACCACAATAAAGGCTCTGCCCATGCTTTCCCCTTGGTCCTGCTGCCTTCTGGTGTTTCTCTATGGGATCCTGCATGCTGTGGTGTGCCCCCTCCTCTTAGAAATTGTAATAAACTACTTTATCAATGGCAATCATCTCTGATTTGTTGGCCTCACCATACTGGAAAAATAAGAAAATGAACATGTTAAAACAGTTGGTTCTAGCCATTATTGTCTATGCTAACTCTTGAAGGAACTGTGCAATAAGTATTTTGGAGATTTATAATTGACTCCAAGCTCATCTGCTGGCTGTGTGACACTGGGCAATGTAATAGAACTTCTATGAATCTTGGTTTCTCCTTTGTTAAATGGGGATATTCCCTACTAGGGCAATGAGCCCTCGATGTTTTTCTTGGCTTTTGTAAAATATAATACTTTAAGTTTTTACTAAATTATAGCCATGGTTTTATCTTCCCATGGGAAATACAGATTACCTACCTTTTCTGTTATCTGTCAAAAATCTATATTGTTCATAGTTGCAATTGTACTTACTTGACATCAGCCAAATCAGTTCTGACAGTTACTTACTATTCGATAGTAAAATCCCCACAAGAGGGCAGCAGAGGCAACACAATGATAGGCAGGTAGCGCACAACCGCCTGAGGAAGGAGCAAGGGAGGGCTTCCCCTTTCTGAGTGCCTTCCTGAGAGGCGCGACACAGGGCTGACCGTCTAGGCTCAGCCTGCGCTGCTTTGTGTGTGCTGGCCCCTCACAGGAGTCACTTTGTCATCAAAGTTCCAGGGAACATGATGAGCCACAGGCAGTTCCTGGCTGTTCCCAGAGAACCTGGGTCAGCTTTTGGAATTCATTTTGTGAAGAAGCTCAGGTTTTCTCTACAATTCATCCTGGTATTCAACAAATAGTAAATGTTAATATTATTCTTAATTCCTTATCAGCATACGGCACATTTATGTGCACATAACCAGTCTATTCCTGAGAAACAAAACATTTCTAAAAAGTATTAAATCAAATATTACTCACAATCCATGCTTGCAACCTTATTTACCTTTACCCATCTACTAAAATAATAAATCCTTCATCTTGAAAATATTTTTAAGTAGATCATTGGTAGTAATAAAATAATTTGGACCACTCTATATTTAAAAAAAACAATTCTCACATAGTACAATATGTCCCTTTTGAAGTTTTCACTGCATTTGAGGGAGAAAGAACCAACACACTGAAAGCCAACTGAACTAAATAAGTTCCAAAATTTTGTATCAGTTCTAAAGGTTGGGAAGGGCTGTGTAAGCTCCCCTTAGGCTGTGTACCCTCAACACAGGTATGTGTTACAGGCAGGCAAATGCACATTCTAATTAGGAATTTAGAGGAGAAAAGATTAAATTATTTTAGCAGTAATCAAGAAATACTTTACAAAAGCATTTTTAAAATATTTTTAAAAATTTAATAATAATTACAAATTATATATATAATTATAAATTTCAGCATCATTTTACTTTTTAAAATGTGGTATAATTTGCAGCCTGAGTAAATCGGTCATTTATTCATTTACTGACTTTACGCAAGCATTCTCTCATTTACAACAAGTATAGAAGTCCCTTTCCCTCGGTCAACAATATGGTGTACTATTTCCAGAACTTGCCCAACTCTGCTAATATTTGGTCCTACAAAAAATTGTTGGGGTAAAGGCAGCTGCCCAGCCTGCATTCGTGTTTTTTACTTGTTGGGAAACAGTTTAAGAAGGCTCTGGTAAAATATTTGTCTATTTTTAAAGAATTCTTTATACATCATGATCTGATATTTCAGCACAGAGATTTTCAAATGCTTTTCCAAATATATGGAAAAATATGGACTTTTTTTGTCATGACAATTTTTTTTTTTATTTAATCAGGGCCCTGCGGTGTTAAGAGATTAGCCACTGTCATATCCAAAATGATGCATTTATTCAGGGCAAAAGTTAATTTTCCTAGTCTTCCTCAGAAGAAATTGCCTCAGGGATGCCAGAAAGACTTGAGGTAATATCAATTTAAAATACTTTTACTGGGACGCTTGGGTGGCTCAGTCAGTTAAATGTCCGACTGTTGGTTTTGGTTCAGGTCATGATCTCAGGGTTCTGAGATGGAGCCCTGCATTGGGCTCTGGGCTCAGCGTGGAGTCCACTTGTCCCTCTCCCTCTGCTCCTCCCTCCATGTTCTCTCTCTCTCTCTCTCAAATAAATAAATAAATAAAATCTTAAAACACTTCTACTGCAACTTGATTCCTTGGGCCAGAGGAAAGCCCTTACTGTGGTTGATGGTACAAGCAGATCTTCATGTACTGTTTCCAGGCATCACCACCAGACTCCCTGTCACCACCAGTGTGCTTTTCTCCTCCAAGTGCACCTCCCCTCTCAGTCCCAAAGTATAAAACTTAGAAAAGTTGATCTGCTCTCTTTGGGGTAGGGGTGGGACCCGGAGCCTCGCCCACTGAGCCTCTCTCCATCCCCCTCTAAGGTATCACTATGTCACATTAAATTTCCTTGAACTGCAGTTTGAATATTGGTCACCAAGGGTATGATAGACTTGCAATAAAAGTGGCTACCCAGTGGAGCTTTATTGTGTATGAAACTTGGATTTCATGATAATCTTCCTAATTTCCCTCTTCATGGTAGGAAAAAGTGTTACCTGGTTGCTCTCTTCTTGTCCCCGATGCACCGAAGAATTGGAGACCCGAGACCAGAATGGGGAGACAGAGCTTACTCCTTATACTTAATCTACTGATAAGTATAGTTCACTTGATTCAAGAGTGAGAGTGGGCCACTGCCAGAGTTAGAGCGGCAATGGCCCCAGAAGCTCTAGCTGCATCCTTTTAAGCCTGCTTTGTGTACATGTAAATTTAGCTTTGATTGACATTTTTGTTTGACAGCTGGTGGTTACTTAACATTTTGGCCTCTACACATGCACCTACCCATGATGCCTTTGGTTATAATTATATTTATTCACGTATTGCATATTTATGGACTTACAATGAGTTTTGTTGTGATCTTGAAGGTACTTAAGGGCAAGTTGAGACCCTTGTGTGCATGGCTCTCAGACGTCCCCTTGTGGCTTTTGAGCCAGCTCTGTGGCTAAGCCTTTTCTGTTCTGTTAGGCCTTAGAGGTTGCTCTGAAGGTGTCACTGTTAACCCTTGGGGGTGGCTCCCAGGGGTGGCCAGCCCCTGCTTTAATTCCTCCTCGCTCGTGTCTAACTAACTGCCTAACAAAGTATAAGAAATTCTAGTTGCTTATCATAAGGAAGATAGTTTTTCAAATGATATAGGGATTCCTACCTCTGTCCCTCATTCTCTTTGCTGAAACAACAGGTTGGAGAACTACCAAAAGCCTAGGTAACAGTTAGGTATAAGATAAGCAAAAATTCTTCTAAAGTCACTCAGATTCAGATTTTCTGCCCTTGTTATCTTCTCTCAAGTTTACAGACATTAGATGACCTTTTAATTTTTTTATTTTTTAAGATTTTATTTATTTATTTGAGCGATACAGAGATAGTGAGAGAGAGAGAGAGAGAGAGAGAGAGCAAGCATGAGCGGGGAGGAGAGGGAGAAGCAGGCTCCCTACTGAGCAGGGAACCAGATGTGGGACTCGATCCCGTGACCCTGGGATCATGATCTGAGCCGAAGGCACATGCTTAACTGAGTGTACCACCCAGGCGCCCAAGACGACCTTTTTAGGTGAATTTATATATGATCCATTTTTCCAAATATCTGTTGGAGATTGACATTCTGAAGTGTTCACAGTATTGCTGCCATGAAGGAATATATTTTCTGTGATGCATAATAGGTTCCATTTGTCCTAAGCAAATATCTGCCAATGTCCAAGTCAATGGATTTTGTAGCTGAATGTTACAAACTACAACATCTCTCATAATAAATTACTGAAAACATATGTTCATTTATAGCATGGCTTTAGCTAAACTGAATACGAATGATTTAGGAATACGTATACAAAACACAAAACGAGTTTTTCATATTCTCCTGGTTAGACCAGGAAACTATTTACCTACTCACTAAAATCTGTAACTCCCAAATCATTACTTTTGATACTTTCTTGGTCATTGGTGGATCTGTGCAGAGCAGTGAAAAATTTGAGCTGCCCGATGCACATGTTCCCAGCTGAGGTCAAACAAGGTGAAGCTCTGCCTTCTTGTCTCAGCTCTCAAACTGTAAACAAGTGTCCTTTTTGTGGTATATTTAGTGCCAGTTTTTTGCATTTTGGGGCTTTTTGTCAGTGATTTCACTGTTTAAAATGCCTCTGAGCATAGTCCTGAAGTGTTATATGGTGTTTCTAAGCACAGGAAAATCGTGATGTGTCTCACAGAGAAAATGTGTGTTAGATAAGCATCACTCAGGTATGAGTTATAGTGCTGTTAACTCTGAGTTCAATGTTAATGAATCAACAATATATATTAATTTAGGTATCTTTAAACAGAAACACACACACAAAACAAGATTATATATTGATCAGTTTTAGAAATGTTGTGACCAGAGTGTGATCTCATTCCATATGTCTCCGGGAGCAGCGTTCACTAATTCAGTTCACTAATTCAGTACAACTTTATAGTACGTAACTACCATGAATAATGAGCCTGGGCTGTACTCTCAGCTGGCCCTAACCCCTCGTTCTCACCTCTGGCCGGAGAGTGGAATCACAAGTGGAACTGAAAAGGAAAATAACTGATCCTAATAACTGATCCTAAGTTCCAATCGTGGAGATTTGGATGCAATGGATTTGGATGCAATGGATAGTTGTATACATCTTTCCATGTGAGTCTAATACACAGCTAGCTGGGCTTGAGAACAATTTTTGTAGCTCATTGTCAGCTTTGGAACTTCCCACTGGGGGCGCTCACCAAGGGCAATGTGTGTGCTCTCTTACGGAGAGCAGCCTGAAAACACCTTTTTCCAGCCCTCCTTGGTTCATCCTTGTACTTTCATATTCAAATAAAACGCTTTAAGCTCCTATGACAAACAATGGTTTAAGCTCCTTTACTGTTAAATATCATAATTGTTTAATGTTTGAGTAGATATAACTTTATTTTAGGGGAGGAGGACATAGCCCAGTTCTGGCCAATGAGATAGATGAGAATTCTGCTGGGGGACTCCTGGAATCTTTTCTTCCTTCACTGTTCAGAGGAAGCAAATGGGAGAAAGCCACCTCCACAACATGGTTTTTTTTTCTCTCTCTTTTTATTTTTATTTGCATTTATTCTGCAGAATTTACTCCCAGGCCATAAGTTTTTGTTTCTTCAGTTTCTTCTGGGATATCTTTTTCTTCTGTGCAACCTCTTCTTCTGGTTTAGGAACAATCTGCTCTTTTTCAGTAAGGACCATCTCGATGTGGCAGGGAGAGCTCATGTATCGGTTAATCCAACCATGAGCCCCGTACGTTCTACGCCGCATCTTGGGGGCTTTATTCACCTGGATGTGCTCCATGACCAGAGAATCAACATCTAAACCCTTAAGTTCAGCATTACTCTCTGCATTTTTAAGCATGTGCAGTAAAAATTCAGCACTCTTCTTGGGCCACCGACCCTGTGTCCAGCCCCACTGTTTGGCCTGGGCACACCTACCAGCTCCACCATTGTAGTGACAGAATGGCACATACGGCTTCTGCAAAGTGACGTCTTTCAGATAGTTGCGGGCTTTTCGCATATGCAGACCCTTGATGGCCTGGGCAGTTTCACGTGTGTTCTTAAAGTGAACACGAAGATTTGAACCCTTGATTTACATGATTTTGTAGGGTTTTCTGGGTCAAGCGAATAGCGAACCATTTTCAGAGGTCACCTCAGGCCGCTTAGGGGAAGAGCTCCACAACATGTTTTAACTGAGGTTGTAGATAGAAATAATGGTTGTTGCTGTTGTAGCCATTTTGCAACCATGAGAGAAAAGCCAAGAAAATTACAGGACACCTCCTAGAGTTCTGACACAATGAACGCACTGACTCTTCTTGTTATGGGAGAAAAAGCAATTCCTCTGGCTGGGCCACATTTACTCAGGCATTCTTCATCTTGAGGCTGAAAGCATGCCTACTGAGATGACCCTTCCCATCCTGCATTGTAAGTCTGGTGCTATTCCTAAGATGTTGAGGATTCCTAGAGGGCTTATGCTCTCATTGTCACCCTTGGATGGAATTCTCGATCCACATTCCCTGTCTCACTTCCAACAGCAACACTTTTTTTCTACGCAGCTCTGCTCCACCACATGGGGCCACCAGCTCTCCTTTATTAACCAAAGCACCACCACACAAAGCTGTTATATGTGGCGGACTTTTAAGAATGATCTGGGACCAAGAAGGGTCAGTACAGCAAGTGCAACACAGGAATGAACTTCTTGGGCACCTGAGTGGCTCAGTTGTTAAGCGTCTGCCTTCGGCTCAGGTCATGATCCCAGCATCCTGGGATGGAGGCCTGTATGGGGCTCCCTGCTCGGCAGGAAGCCTGCTTCTCCCTTTCCCACTCCCCCAGCTTGCGTTCCCTCTCTCGCTGTGTCTCTCTGTCAAATAAATAAATAAGGTCTTTAAAAAGAAAAAAAAATATGAACCTGTTATTCAATATTAGGCATTGCTGCCCAAATGTCCTTGCCATCCCTGCTGTAGGGAAATCTTCCCCAGGCTCTTTCTCCCCTTGGCATGTCAACATGATCTCCAACGGAGATCTCTTCCTTGGCGATCTCTTCCTCACAGCTGAGACCATCTCAGTTCACTCTCTGTTGAAGGGATGTTGAATGCGCACATGCATATACCCATATTTACACCATAAAATATTGGTAGGAAATACACTTAAAATATTAATAATGCCTATCTCTGGGTGATAGGATTACAAGTAATTAATATAATCTTCTTCAGTATTTGTGTTATTTCCGCCCCCCCACCCAAATTTTCTATGGTGAACATGAACTGTTTCTTAAATAGAACATGACTTTTATTAAAATATTCAATTCAAAGGGAGACTGGGTGGCTCAGTCGGTTAAGCATCTGCCTTCAGTTCAGGTAATGATCTCAGGGTCCCAGGATCGAGTTCTGCATCAGGCTCCATCCTGAGTGGGGAGTCTGCTTCTCCCTCTCCCTCTGCCCCTCTGCCTGCTTGTGCTCTCTCTCTCTCCCTCTCTCTCAAATAAATAAAATCTTTAAAAAATTAAAAAATTTAAAAATTCAATTCAAGAATATATTTTATATCCTACTGCATATCTGGCAATAGGATATGAAATATATTCAGTTTCCATGTGTTAACTTAGTATACTAACAGTTGTCACAAAGCAATACTAGTAACTTGAAATGTTGTACTTTCAAGATCTAAATGCTAAATTCCCCGTCTTTGCCCAGAGTTCACTCTCTGTTCCCCTATACATCTTCCTCTTCTATTCTTATTAATCCCGCTCCTCAAATTCATCACAACCTTTAGCCCTTGGGTGGCTCTCTAGAGCTGTGGTCTCCAAGTACTTTGTTCCTGATTCCTTATCAGTAAAAATATTTGAACATGAACCCTAATAAAAGTATATGTACTTCGAAAATCTTTACACGTACTACTATAATAATGTATCATAAAATACAAACAAAAATTAAATAATAAGGCATCAGATGAAGATGAAATAAGATTGTTCAATGTAATTGATATAACCCAGTGCATTAATAATAAAAGATATTTTGTAATCGATAATGCTTTATTACTTTTAAAAAATCTTAGTTTAACCCTTTGTCATTTAGCAAATCAAAAAAATTGATTCAATTTATCTTAATGCTTGATTTCAGTAACTCATTCTACTTCAAAACATTGTCAGTTATAATATGAGCAGGTGAAATAAAAATATTTAATTAATTGTATTAGGGTGAGTATTAAGTGATTAGAACCCTTCAATCAGAATGAACACAGGCTTAGACATCTACCCCAAGTGTTTACTAGCTGTCAACCATAATTTCAAGGAAAAAACAATGGCATTCTAATCACATTTGACTGTAGTTTGCTCTTAACCATTAATTTTAAAATAAAGTAAAAGAAACATAGCCAATCTATGCCTTTGAGGTTTTAACAAAAACATGCCTAAGTGACTGTTTTTGAAAGTTTAAGCTATAGAGGAAGCATTTGGAAAAGTAGATGTTTGGAAAATTTTTCACTGATTCCTGATTTTTTTGCCAACATTGTTTGTTATATAGAAACACTTTTGCAGGCACATGCTTAAAACCAGAATTTTATAACTGAAATGGTGGAAATAATTAAGAAATGAGTATTAGGATCTAATAAACTTAGCTAAAATTCCTTTTTCTGTTTTGGATTTATGTTTTTGAAATATAAATCTATGATAGTACCTTTCAATAAATTTTTCTGCTAAGTCAGTCTATTAGCTTCTGTTTCTTGAAAAAAGTGATCCTACCTAAAAACTCAGTTACCTGGCTACTTATTATATAGGTTTATATACATAACTAATTTATTTCCACTATAAATTGTGCATTCTTTGAGAGGTAACACCGTCTCTTACTCATTGCTTGTCGTCACTTCTTGGACACCTAAAATGCCAGGGCTGGTGCTAAGTGCTTTACAGTCTAGCCTCTGAACAACCTTATGGCCTGGTACTGGTATCATTCTTGTTTCACAAGTGGGAAACGTTAGATGATTTTCCTAAGACCACACAGCAACTAAGAGGCGGTGCTGAGATGTAGGTCCTGACATCCCGGCGCAGGGTCACCGTGCTTAATCAGAGCACTATACTGCTAGGTTAAGGACACCTAGCTTTAAATGAAACAGAGTAGTCTCTTTCTTGATACAAGCTGATAACAAATGAAGGAACAGAAAAACAATTTTAGAAGGATTTCCTCATTGAACTAGATTTATTGTAATTTAATTGAGAAGAAAAGCACACTGCCATTACATTGTAGTTCTAGTTTGTCAAAGAAGTGGAGCTATGATTTTTACTGCTTCTCAACTGTAGAAAACTCAGATGAAAGGTTGGATAACAGCAGGAATTTGTTATCTCATATCTTCCTGACTTAACCGTTTAGAGAACAAAATGCTACAGGTGACTTTTTTAAAATTGATGGGGACTGAAATGTTCTTTTGGGTTTAAAAAGAAAAGGCAGATCTAGAGAAAAGGAAAAGACATAGATTGACAAGATTTCCTACCTCAAAGGATAAAGGAAATAGAAACTTAACATTTAGAAAACAAAAAGGAGAATGAAAATGAAAGTTACCAGAGGAAGCTTGACAGAGGAAAACATCTATTCAAACAGAAAGTAGAAAATAAATTAAATCACAATGCAAAATTATAGATAAAGAAAAAAGACACACTTTGAGAGACTGTGGCTTGGCTTCCCCCCGCCCCTTCTCCTTCCTCCAGAAGGGGTCCTATCAAGATTATGGAAGAGTCCTAAAAAAGAGGTTCCTTTCTACTTTCCTTCTGGTGTTCTCACTCACGCTCAGTCTTCATCATTCAATCCTCATCCAGCAAAGTGACTCTTACTAGAGAGTAAATATGAATTGTTATTGATAGATATTATGGAATGCTAATGGTGAGAATTAGAGGAGGGTGTCTATATGGAAAATCAGCTGGTGAAACTATAATGTACATTATTATCTAGGTCTTACATCAGGAACAAGACAAGAGTGCCCACTTTCACCACTCATATTCAACATTCAACTGGAGGTTCTGGCGAGAGCAATCAGGCAAGAAAAAGAAATAAAAGGTATCCGAATTGGACAAAAAGAAGTAAAATTGTCTCTATTTGTAGAAGACATGATTTCATACAGAGAAAATCCTAAGGACTCCATCAAAAACCTGTTAGATCTAATCAACTAATTCAGTTAAGTTGTAGGATATGAAATCAATATACAAAAATCAGTAGCATTTCTATACACTAACAAATTATCTGAAAAAGAAATAAACAATCCCATTTGTGATAGCATCAAACAGAACAAAATACTTAGGAATGGATCTTACTATAGTTCTCATAGCATTTGTTCTCCACTGGAACATTGCCTACTTTCTGGCTATTATTTGGTATCTGTCTTCCCACTCCCATTAGAATGTAAACTCCGTAAAAATAGAAGTTTTGTTCAGTTTTATTAACTATACAAGAGCAGCACTGATCATATCGCAGGTACTTAATAAATATTTTTTAAATGATTGCATGAATGAATGACATAATCCGAACACCAAACATGTAAGCTTCTACTTTTGACCCTCTGTCATCCAAACAGCAATTCTATGATGTTAAGATGATGACATTATTTCCCCATATTTAGCCATCAATTCCTTTGTATCCTCCGGTGTTTGAAGCTCAAGGACAGAAGGATGGATATCAGGGGACGGAATGGTTTTTGGTTGGTTGGTTGGTTTTGTTTTAATGTACTAAATGAAACCTGCCAGCACCTGAAGGGCAGGGGTGGAGGGAATTTCTTGGAATGGTCCTAAAAGGTATCTTCATAGACCCAATAACGAAAATTGGTAATTTGAATACTTTTGCAGAAACGTCTAATTTAATCTCTTTTTTTAAGATTTATTTTGAGAGAGAGAGAGCATGAGTGAGTGGGGGGATGGGCAGAGGGAGAGGAGAGAGAACCTCAAACCGACTCCCTGCTGAGCACAGAGCGGGACGTGAGGCTTGATCTCACAACCCATGAGATCATGGCCTGAGCTGAAATCAAGAGTGGGACACGTAACCGACTGGGCCACCCAGGTTCCCCTTAATCTCTCTTTTTTTTTTTTTTGAGGTACAAGGTCAAATCCCAAAATTAAGTAAATACATAGTAGTATTTTATGAAGAAACGGAAAAGAATAATATAAAGCAGGTCTACCTGCAAGACCAAAGTTTTATTTCACTTCAGTTAACTTTCACTATGTGTTTGATGTTAGACCAACTGCTAAGGTCAAAGCAAATAAAATTCCCACTGAGGGTAATCATCAAGGACCTACTGGTTAGGACCTACTGTTTGTATTGTACTGGTTAGTGTGTAAATATGCCCTCTCTTCAAGCAGCTTACAATCCTACAGGAAAGAAAAAAGCTTAGCTACACAATATAATTAAAGCATAAAACAGGACGAGATGCTATAAAGAGCTCTACTGAATATTTTGTATGCCTCTGATAAAAACAAGGACTCTGTATTTCTCTTATCCAGTCCAAAGCAGAACCAGGCGTCCCTGTCCTATCTGAACGTCATTGAATGCGCTTTGCTACGAGATTACTTTTCCTAAATGTATCTTTTTAATGGCTTAACTGACCCCTCCATCCTCCATATAATTCTAGACCATGAGGTTCTCACGGTGAAGCATACACACTACCACCCACAGTTCCCCCTGGCTGCAGAATATGAGTAGCAACCTGAAGGACTCACTTTTATGTGGCTTCTGTACTGAACCAAAGCTGCCATTTTTCAGTGTGGGTGTCTTTTTTTCCCTCATGACATAGACAAATGTTGATGTTTACTACAAGTCGGTACATTAGTTGCTAATTAAGTTCCTCACTGCTTCAGCCAAAACTTTCTGTATTGAATCCAAGAAAAGAATGGCAGCTATATCAAAAATAAGTTGTTGGGGATTTTGTTTTGTTTTATTAAAGGAAAGTTGTATATTAAAGAATATGGGGAACTTACAGGCTGGGAGATGGAAAACCTTCATTCTTGGCTTCCTCTTAAGCTGAGTTGGTGGTTAACGTCCCTCTGCGTCTGTCGCCAGGCCCTGGCCAAAGCCAAATAAATACTACAATTTACGCATCAGGCAGTCAAATAAACGGTTTATCATTAGTCACTCTTTTTCAAACCCACAAGTCCTCAGAGGAAAAAGCTGGTTTGGGGGGACCTACAGGAAGTCGGGTTGATTCTAGAGGGGGTGCAAAGGTCCTTCATCCTGGGGCTCGGGGTTCACACCTCTCTGGAAAGATGTCTTCTTGGCTTTATTTTCTCCAGCTGCTCCCTGCAGTCTTACCATCTTGTCTGCGGACAGGGGGCTGGGGGTGGGGCAGAACCTACCTGAAGTCACCAGCTAAGGGTAACTCCTTCCTGCGGGCGTCAGGGTCTGTGGCAGTTTCTCTTCACTCTGGACCGGGAAGTCCCGGATCACGCGCTTTCAAGCCCTCCACATTTTCGCTGACGGGGGTGATGCAAGACGGCTGTGGGGAAGAAGTCTGATTTTTGAGGCAGAACCCTGCAAAAAAAAAAAAAAAAAAAAAAAGTCGAAACACCTGCAGGAGGGGCATTGTTGATCGCGGCTTTCCGATTTCGCTTTCCTTTTCCGTTTCCCACAGTGCCTGCCCCCGAGGGACTGTCCTTGCCAGAGCCGGCCGAAGGCTGTCTCCTGCTCTGGGAAACGAACACTCCCCGCCCCGGCGGATCACGTCCGCAAAGGCCTGAGGGAGACGGAGAGAATCGAAACAGAAACCCAAGTCCGGCAAACTACAAGAACCGCCCGGCGCAAAGCGGGGCTCAAAGCTCCCACCGCGGTTGGCAGAGGCGGCGTCTTGGTCGCCCGCGGCGGCGAGCGCAGCCGGGAGTCGGAGCGGCGCGCCTGCCCGTCTGTGCGCCCGCCGCCCGCAGCTTCTCGCCGGCGCGCCCGCCACCTAACCACCCGCGCCTGCCCAGGTGCGACCCACCGAGCCCCCGCGCGCCGCCCTGGGGGTCCTGCGGACCACCCGCTCCGCCCGGCCCAGAGCTGCGGACCCTGCGGGCTTCCAAGCCGCCCGCGGGACGCACAGCGCACCTGCTGAGCAGAGAACAGCAAGCTGTCGGTGTGTTAGGGAGAATCCTCTCCCTTGGCTGAGCACGAACGAAAGATGTCGAACGGCTACTCGGCAGACAAGAGTTTCCGCTATCTCATCTCGTGTTTCAGGGCCAGAGTGAAAACGTACATCCAGGTGGAGCCCGTACTGGACTACCTGAACTTTCTGCCCGAGGAGGTGAAGGAGCAGATTCAGAGGACGGCCATCAACGCTGGGAACATGCAGGCAGCTGATCAACTTCTGAGCACTTTGGAGAAGGGAGGCTGGCCCCCTGGCTGGACCAGACAATTTCTGGTGGCTCTTCAGAGAGCAGGCAGCGTTTTAGCCGCCCGCTACCTGAACCCGGAGCTCACCGACTTGCCTTCTCCATCCTCTGAGAACGTTCATGATGAGTGTCTCCAGCTACTGAACCTCCTCCAGCCCACGCTGGTGGACAAACTTCTGGTTAGAGATATCTTGGACAAGTGTGTGGAGAAGGAACTGTTGACAAATGAAGACAGAAACCGGGTAGGTGTCAGTTCAGATGGAGGCAGATTTTGTAACTCGGGGTTGCTCCTTCCTTTGCCCCACTCCAAATGTTCTTTGACATCTCTGGGTAAATTTGGTTCCCTCCTTTCTTGAGCAGAGAATAGTTAGGCACTTAACAACATAATTTTGAGAATTGGAATATAACAAAAGCTCTTTTTCTAATCCTTTCACTAAAATAAGCCAGAAGAGGTGTTACCTCCAAAATAGTAATGTGTACTAATAGATAACATTTATTGAGCACTTACTATAGACACTTAGTATCATTTGCAAAACTTATTATCAGAGCTCATGCTCCCAATAATGCATTAAGATTTTTAAGGTTATTAACATTGTTTTACAGATGAGAAAACTGAGGTAGGTTATGTAACTTGCCCAAGGTGTCCCGGGAAAGCAGTGGCAGACCTAGGGATTTAGGTCCTGGTGGTGTGCAATTTTGCGCCTTACTTTATATAGTTCGATAGAACGAGTATCCGCAAACCATGATCCATGGGCTCAGTCCAGCCTATTAGTGGTTTTTGCAGGCCCAAACACTAAGAATGGTTTTTAGATTTTTTTAAATTTTCAGTGCTCATAAAGTTTTATTGGAACAGAGCCATGCTCATTCATTTACATGATATAACTGCTTTCGCATTTTAAGAGCAGTTGAACAGAGACCATACAACCCACAGAGCTAACGGTATTTATTATCTGGACTTTACAGAAAAAACTGCCAATCTCTGGCCTATATTATACGTACACCATTTGATCTTGGTCCAAATGGAGAAATTACATTACACACACACTTTTTTTTTTCTTTAATCAAAGTTATGACATTCTCTGGGAATTAAAAGTTGCAGATAATTCATTGAAAAAAAAACATGTTGCCAATTGTAGTTTTTCATATTAAAGGAGTAGTGGATTTTTTAGGTGGCATTTTGACAGGGTGAATTTTATAGGGCATTTTATACTTAATGTAATGTTTCATTGTTCATTGTTTTTTAATGAACAAGGATGTACTGTGAAGTATAGAAATGCTGACCTATTTGAACATGACTTATTCAGGGTTGTAAGTAAATAAAAATCTTATTTTGAAAGGCATGTAGGCAAATAAACAAACCCATGAGTAAAAGTCAAAGGCTTTGTCTAACATGCTATGATTCTGACATTTTCTTTCTTTCTTCCTTTTCTTTCTTTCTTTCTTTCTTTACGTCTTTCTTTCTTCCTTTCTTCCTTACTTTTGGATTCACCAGTTGTTTGTATCTTCATTACAAAGTTCTGGACACTGGCCTCACATTAGCCTGTGATGTAACTTGGTCTTTAGTGAGTAAAGTTACTAGACCTTTGTAGACTTGACAGCCATAGGGCTGTCCAAAGACCCAAGCATGCATCTAATTTTGGTGGCTGGTTTTCCCAACAAGTAAATTACTTTACACTGTTGTCTGTAACGTTTATGTAGTTTTGTGTATTGAGAACCAGCTAGAACGCATTATAGTAGTCCAGCTGGATATGACAAATGTGTACATCACTGTGGCAGAATCTTAATTTGGAAGACAGTATGCAGCCTTCAAGCCAGCTGGAGATGGAAGATGGCATTTCCAGCCACAGTAGCTGTTAGGAAGTCCAGAAGCAACAGAGTCCAGTAACACCACAAAGCTGTTTATGTTTGGTGGGTATGATGTCCCGATTGCCAACGAAACAGCACTTTTCCTTATTTACTCTAAATACTTCTGCCTATCAGCATCACTTTTGTCTTGCCTGGATTGAATTTCCGCCAGCTAGATTTTATCCAAGTTCTTGATTCTGGCAAGCTTGGAGGCAGCTAGCAGTAATGCAAGGGATTTGACACAAAGAAGATGTAGAGTAAAGGGGCATTTATGTACTGGGTAGCAGTTAAAGCCAAAGCAACCCAAACTCTCCCTCAAATTCATATTTCAAAAGAGCCTCTGAAAGATGGAGGAGCTATGCATTTGAAGCTTTCTGAGGAGGAATAGTGTCTCTGTGCGATTCTGGAATCATGTCTACACGTCATTTTACATGTGCCATCAAAGCTATTGAAGACAGTGGAAAAATAAGCTGTTGGAAAGAAGCACTAGATTTAGAAGAATCTATATTGATATGGGGGTCATTGATGAATATTTATCTCAAAATAGCAAATCGTACTGGGGGAAAACATGAGAATTTGGAATGGGAAAACCTGGATTTGAGATCTATGTTTGTTTCTTACTCTATGTGTTACTTTGGGTCAAGTTATTTAAGTTCCTTGATCCTAAATTCACCCATGAAAATGGACATAATGTCTCCTCTCACTCATGGTACTTTAGTGAATACAAATGAGAAATCATGTTTATGAAAAAGATTTTTAATGAATAATAATAATAAAGAGTTATTTTGATATGATGATGATGATGAATTTTATCATCATTCATTTGGTTACCTTTCCTTGTGAATTTAAAGTTTCAGAAACTTAGGTTAATCAACCACGTTGAAACTGAGATCTTCTTAAAGCCCCTGGATTAAACTGTGATTCCAAGGAAAAACTATGTCTTTCATCTTTAGAAACCTAGCCAGGACTAGGTATAGAACTGATACTTAATAAGTATTAACTGGCTGATTGAATTTATTTCCAAAAGTTGTCTGGGATAAAGGATAAGAACGCATGATGTCATGGATTGCCTTGCCAGGCATTTGGAAATGGATGGATGATGGACATAAGATCTCCAAATCTGCTTTTTTGACAGCCTAAAGTAGTATCTGAATAAGAAGTTAGGGCTTCAAAAAAGTATTTTATTTTAATTATTTTCCTGCTTTCTTTTTTTTTTTTTTTAAGATTTTATTTACTTATTTTGACAGAGAGTGAGACAGCAAGAGAGGGAACACAAGCAGGGGGAGTGGGAGAGGGAGAAGCAGGCTTCCCACCCAGCAGGGAGCCCGATGCGGGGCTCGATTCCAGGACCCTGGGATCATGACCTGAAGGCAGACACTTAACGACTGAGCCAGCCAAGCACCCCTTTCCTGTTTTCTAGTAGACATTTTCTACTGGTCTGTCATTTTAGTTTATGATTCTTATGTCCCATCCCTGCAACCCCTGCCCTTCATACATCAGAGCCTCCGGAAATTATCCTAGATTTAGTTTTGTGTCCAGTAAGTACCCAAAAAACCATCTTTTTTTTTTTAAGATTTTGTTTATTTATTTGACAGAGAGAGACACAGTGAGAGAGGGAACACAAGCAAGGGGAGTGAGAGAGGGAGAAGCAGGCTTCCCGCCGAGCAGGAAGCTCGATGCGGGACTCGATCCCAGGACCCCGGGATCATGACCTGAGCCGAAGGCAGACACTTAACGACTGAGCCACCCAGGTGCCCCCCAAAAAACCATCTTTAATGGATTGACTATTCATTCATTTGGTTTAAATTTATGGAGTGACATCTTGTGGCAGACATCATGCCAGTGGTGAAAAGACTGGATAATAATGCCAATACTGTCTGTGCTTTCATGGAGCTTATGTTGTAGTGTTGATTCATTCTTCTAATAAATAGTTAATGTCTAGCGTATGCAAGGCACTATTATAAATACTGGGGAGTCAACGATAAATAGAAGAATCATTTTATAGATCATTATAATATAATGATCCCTAATAGAAAGGGGCTGCCCCTGGACTGAACTGCTTTTATTTTAGGACACTTAGTGACCTCTTGGCACATCCATTAACTTAGACAGCCATGAACGCTGGAAAAGAGGTAACCATATAAACATTTCCATAGTTATTTAATATCAGTCTGAACAGCTGAAGAGAGGTTCCTGTTTCAGTCCTGGCCAGTTCAAAGCATTAAACATCCAGAGTCCAGGAAGACCCCATATACCTTTCATTTACATAGGAGAACCAGAGATAGTGTGTTTGGTCCAGCTAGAAACCAAGTCCAGTTGTCCTTACATAAAGATGAGAAGCTGAGTCAGTCTCCCCCAGCTCATTGTATTGTCAGGTAAATTAGTATGTGTAAGAATTTTATTAGCAAGAAAAAGTACTAGTAAGAAATCAGTTATGTCAGTGTGCTGATACATATTCATTTAGAAACACATTAACTTTTTATGGGGAACTAGTTTTTTTTTTCTCTCTCTCTCTCTAAAAAATTTATTTTTTTAATTTAAATTCAATTAATTAACATATATTATTGGTTTCAGAGGTAGAAGTCAGTGATTCATCAGTCTTATATAACACCCAGTGCTCATTACATCATGTGCCCCCCCAATGGCCATCACCCAGTTAACCCCATCCCCTCACACCCTCCCCTCCAGCAACCCTCAGTTTGTTTCCTATGATTAAGAGTCTCTTATGGCTTGTCCCCCTCTCTGATTTCATCTTGTTTTATTTTTTCTTCTCTTCCTATGAGGAACTAGTCTTTAAAAATTCTTTCTTTTTAACATGAGTTTTGCTTCCTGAGTTACTGGGATGAGAGCTGAGCTCTGTTGTGTTAAAAAAAAATCACCATTATATTTAAATAGTTATCTAAGGTTTTTATGAAGGAATGAAAACATTTTTATCAAGCAATTTTGTTGGCAAACCAGTGCTTAATGGAAATATTGCTTTCTCTACTGATTTCGGTTGGAAAGAAAAAACATAGATCAAAGAATTTAGAATGTGAAAGCATGTAATTGTATTACCCACAAATTCATATTTATTTTGTATTCCATAAATTAGTTAACAATATATCAGAAATATTTTAAACTGCATATTTAGGGAAAATGTTCAGTGAGGGAGGAACATGAGTGAGAATCATTACATGTCCTGTTGAAGTCTCAAGTCTAAATACTCACCTCTCAATTTTTATAATCAAGTTTAATACTGGGATCTAATATCTCTAGTATGTTTTAGGAGAACAGATTAAGTAAAAAAAAATATATATATATATATGGCTGTTTCAAAGGTACTTTCTAGCACTCAAATTCAGAAGACTTCTTAAAAATTCAGAATCTTGATGAAGTTGCTAAAATTGCACTGGTGTTCTATGTAGTTCCACTGTTCAGATAATAAAAATACTCATAGGAAATAATGACATAATGATCCTCAAATGCCTGAACCCAGTAAGGACAAAGAAAGCTTGACAAGTGTAATTTTACAGTTAAAATCAACTTAACTGATTAATAGTGAATGAAAGTTTAATGCCTATAATATAATTAGGTTTTTAGTGAGAATATTCATTACAGTGTATCACTTATCTTTTTAGAGAAATGCTTTCTGATTACTTCTGTCAGATGGATTTAAAGGTGATTAAAGAGTAAGGTAATTAAAAATAGAAATGATTGAGTTGAAAGAAGGTGCTCAAACCAGTCTTACTAAACGTCTTTAGCAACTAAGTTTTAAGTTAGCAGATAATAATAAAGATGCTACAAACACCGGAGAAGACAGAAAGTTTCCATTAGGAGATTAATGAAGTTAGACAAAAGGTAGAAAATGAGCAAGAATCTGCTTAGAAAATGCTGTGAGGGAGATGGACTGAAATCACCTAAATTTTATTAAATCCAGTAGTCATCTTATCCACTTCTTGTCAGAAAATGTGCTTAAAATTGGAGACAATTAGTAGCTATAATTATAGCTCAGGAAGGCAGTATTTGGCCTCCGAAGTCAATTGCCTGGGATGAAATGCCACCTCTGCCATTTACTAGCTTTTTGGCTTCAGGGGGGTAACTGGAATTCTGTGTGCCTTGGATTTCTGGTCTGCGAAGTGGGTTAATATTAGTTCCTTCTTCAGGGTTTCTGGGTTAATAGGTGCAAAGCCTTTATAATAACATTATTAAGTATTATCTAGTAAGACAAACATACCCACTGGGTAGAAATCATGCTGCATACCTCTGTACTAAGTAGTGTCCACTGGTGAAGTGTTTATAAAGGTAGATGCTTTCTTCAGTCATCCATAATAATAACTAACACTAAATTTGTGTCAGACACTGTTTCAAAAATGCAAGCAAATACCTGACACTAAAAAGTTATAGGATGTATTTATAGGACTAGAAAATACACAAATTTAATAGGAAACAATTAATCTAGCTAATCAACCCAGATTCTACATGTAGGAGGTGGACGAATGTTCAGAAGGGCCTTTGAGAGGAGGTAAGTCAATATTTCTCATCTAAGCTGCTGATTAGAATCATGAGATCCTTAAAAAAAATTCTGGCTTCCCAACACAGACAAAATAAGTCAGAATCTTTGGGGGTAGATCCCAGACATGAGTGTTTTTAAAGCTCCCCAGGTGTGCCTAATGTGCAGGTAGAGTGGAAAAGCCCTGAAATTTCCTTTCAGTTGCCTCATTTTGCACATGCAGAAGTTGAAGCCCAGAGGGATGAAGCCTTTCCCAAAGGCACAACAGGCTGATGATGCCCTGTCTCATTTCTTTCTGGTCTAAATGTGGCTTGTATTGGTCTTTTCTCCAAATGTTTGGTGCCGTATTAAGAACTGGGAGATGCACTGTGATAATGATTACACAAATGATCTACATTTAAAATGATTTGTTAGTTTAGTCTAAAAGAGAAGTCAAAGGAAGACTAAATGATTCTGCCCCATACTTTAAGGAATATATGTATAAATAAATTAGTCTCATAATATTAAATTAAACACAAATTTAGGAAAATATTATAGTCATTAATACATATTGCAAATACTAAGTAAACAAGAATATAAATCTTTTGATAGTAATTACTTAATAGTAGTGATAGTCAGGTAAGAAATATTTGGCTTCCTATTTATAGACTCCATGGGTTGAAAAGAAATAGCAAACCCTAGATATACGGAACGAAATTGATGCAAATAGACATAACAGAACTAGAAATAAAAGGCATTTTCTTTTGTCCCCATTATTCAGAATGACCAAGGTAGAACCTTTAATTCCTAAGTGTAAGTTTTGAATATCTTAGTGGCTTTAAAAAATGGTTCATATTTAAAAGGGGGCTTGGCCCAGAGATTTGTCCCAGCTACAATCCAGAATTACTGTAAGTGACGTTGTTCTTTTCTTTAGTGGTTAGATATAAGCCTTTACTAATACTTACTATGCTTAATTGCTCATTTTTTAAAAAGGCTAGTTCCTGTTTAAAATTGTTCAGAAGTTGTGTGATCTTTTTAATTCTGCTTTTCTCTTAAAACAGATTTCTGCTGCAGAAAGCAATGGAAATGAATCAGGTGTAAGAGAGCTACTGAAAAGGATCGTGCAGAAAGAAAACTGGTTTTCTGCATTTCTGATTGTTCTGCATCAAACAGAAAACCACGCCCTTATCCAAGAGCTAACAGGCACCACTTGCTTTGAAAGCAATGCAGGTATATCTAATTCTACTAAAAAAGAGTTTGTACATTTTCCCTAGTGATTGAAAGCTTAACGAAGCCTGTAGACACAATGTCAAACACTAAGATATTGAGAATCAAAATTTCAAAATTGGAAGCGATTTGAGAAATCATCTATTTTTTTCCCCTTTACAAATGAAGAAACTGTTGCGTGGGAAAAGATTAACTTACCAAAGATCATAAAACTCAGCAAACTGGGCTATTGACAGCTTTATATATTTATGCAGCTGCCAAATATTGGCAGCTATATTGGCAGCTGACCCCTAGTCTAATATTCCTTCCACTATTCATCTTATATTGAAGACAAGATGATTATCTAAAATTTTTATCAAAATAATTTATGCACTGATTAGATAACCAATAAATTGGAAGAAAATATTTTAGTGGTTATTACAACTGTGCTGCTAGTCTTCTGGTCATCTATATCAATTTTTAAGGAATTTATTAAACATTTGATAAAAGGTCTGTAATTACCAACATATCTCAATATTACTTCCTGTGAGGTTTTTTTTTTTTTGTTCCTTCAATTATAATAATAAAAGCAACAGTTTAGAGTCTTCACATATATTATTTGTAAATCTAATATAAACTGCCATCTTGTTTTTCTTTTCAGGGTGTGTATCTTATGTTTTCAAAAATCTCATATGTAAGACAAATTGAAAGTTAATTGGTAATAAAATGATTTAAATACATTACAGTCACTTCAAGCTTACTCCACTTCTTCTGTTCATCCAGCCATCCCATCATTCGTTCAATGAACAACGTGTGATGAGTGCCGCACACTTTGTTGCAAATGCTGCAGATATGGACTTAAGTGAGACACACAAAGTCCCTATTGCCACATACCACTTTCTTTTTTTTTTTTTTAAGATTTTATTTATTTGACAGAGAGAGAGATAGCGAGAGCAGGAACACAAGCAGGGGGAGTGGGAGAGGGAGAAGCAGGCTCCCCGCAGAGCAGGGAGCCCGATGCGGGGCTCGATCCCAGGACCCTGGGATCATGATCTGAGCCGAAGGCAGACGCTTAACGACTGAGCCACCCAGGCGCCCAACACATACCACTTTCTAATGCAAGAAGATACCCAGTAAACACTTTTCTCAGTTGCTTTTGCAAAATAAAAAGTTACTAAGTTATTAAAATAAATAGCACATTATTTTTTATTCTATGTTATTTATGAAATAGGTTAATTTCGCCCAGTAAGAAATACACACACACACACATATCTGTGTATATATATGCATATACAGAGACAGACACACACAACACACACCCATGATGAGTTCCCTTTCAGGACCTCATGGAACCTTTTCCATCCATGACAAACATTCAAGGGCTTAAATTTCGAAGAGAAAATGGCTGCAGTCTAGATTTTTTTGTTTTTGTTGTTCCCTGAGAAATTTTGGTTTCAGTGTAATGAGAAACATTAGAAAGGTGACCTTTTAGGTCACAAGACCTTGTCATATCCGTCCCTCAAATTCGAGGGTACCCATCCATTTTACAGTTGTGTATGGTGGCACACTTGTTTAGGATGGAGTCTAGAAGATCTGCTCCAAAGTGTCTTCTAGATTCTCCTGACATATACAACATGTCTGGCCATGTTTTCTTCTAATATATATATATATATATATTTTTTAAAGATTTTTATTCACTTAATTGAGAGAGAAAGAGAGAGCAAGCAGGGGTGAGGAGCATGGGGAAGAAGAGGGAAAGCGGACTCCATGCTGAGCACAGAGCCCTATGCAGCTGGATCCCAGGACCTGGAGATCATGATCATGACCTGAGTGGAAACCAAGAGTTGCTCAACCCACTGAGCCACCCAGGCACCCCTCTTTCTAAAATATTTTTAAATTCTTCTTCACCAGATGCTTTGTTAGAAGTTTTGTTTGTTTGTTTGTTTGTTTGTTTGTTTTAGTAGGCACCATGCCCAGCAAGGAGTCCAATGCAGGGCTCCGACTCAGCACCCTGAGATCAAGACCTGAGCCAAGGTCAAGAGTCGGACACTTAGCCGACTGAGCCATGCAGTCGCCTCTAGAAGTTTAATGTAATTCTAAAAATTATAATTCTTTGAACAAGAGCAATGTAGGTAGTGTAGTACATCCCAGGTAATACCTACATTGTAACACACTCATCACATACATCTAGTGCTTTCATGCTTTCCTCTTCACTTTCTTTACTGTATGCCATAAATTTATTAGGTCTTTGTGTGTCTGTTTTTGAATGGCTTAGGGACTAGTTTATCCCAATTTCCCCAGCCCACACACATATCCTGGCTGGCCAAGGCCAGGCACTTTATAAAAGGGGGAAAGGCCTTGTGGAAAGAAAAACAGGGGCACCAATTGTCCAAACCCCTCTCTTGTCCCGTAGCAGGGTCCTCTCATGGTTGGGGCTTCTCCCTCATTCTACCAAAGGGAGTGATGATGGGCATTGACCCAGATACGAGGGCTTCTCTGACGGCAGGGAGCAGAGTGGAAAGGGGTCTCTGAGCTTCCCTTGAGGAGTGGAAGAAAATCTCCAATCCTTGGCTGGGGCAACATCTGTGGACTCCCCACCACCCCTACCTGCAGGCAGGTTGCTCCTGACCCACTCATTCCAAAACGCAGGGCTTATTTTTTCATTTCCTCAGAAAATTTAATCAGAGGGATTGGGATTTAAATTTTGTTTGCTGAACTATACCTCCTTTTATGGGGATCTAAGAATTTTTCTGGTGGGTCTTAATGACCAGAATAAAGTTAGCTGTGATTATTCTTGTGATTAGGAGTTACTATGGACTAAGTAGTGTTTCCCCAAAATTCATATGTTGAAGCCCTAATATCTACTGTGATTGTTTCTGGGGGATAGAGCCTCCAAGGAGATAATTAAGGTGAAATGAGGTCGGAAGGGTGAGCCCTAATCTGATAGGACTGTGGCTTTATAAGAAGAGGAAGAGATCTCTGTCTCTCTCTTCACCATGTGAGGACACAATGAGAAGGTGGCCTTCTGTACCCTAGAAGGGAGCTCTTACCAGACACCAATCCTGCTGGCACATTGATCGGGAACTTCCAATCTCCAGCACTATGAGAAAATCAAATTCTCTTGCTTGAGTTATTCCATCTATGATATTTTGTTATTGTGGCCTGAGCTGACTGATAGAGGAACCTAGGCTCTGGATACTGATGCTTATTGAATCCTGGCTCTTTTACTTCCCTGGTTGTATAGCTTTGAGCAGGCACTTGCCCTCTCTGTGCCACAGTTTACTCCTCTGTAAACTGGGGAAAATAATATTACCTATTACCTAGGGCTCTTTGGAGGATTAAGTGATTCAACATTTCCATAGCACTTGTATGGTAAGCACAAAATAAATGGACGATTCTGATTACAAACCCCAAACATACTTAATGTGTACCTGCAAACATTGTCAAGTCATTTTGTCCAACAACAGAGTCCAAAGTCACAACAGTTTTCTTTGGGAAATTCTCCATACGCAGGACATACTTTCCCTTTATTCTTTCAGATGGGTTAATACACAATGATACTTTAAGAAACTTTATTTAGGGAATCAGTCTTCTCTGATAGATGATAGCTTCAGGAGGACAGAAACTCTTCTTTTTCTTTGTAACCCACATAGTCCCGTAAGAAAACATTCAATACTTATTGGTTGAAGGAAGAAAGGCTGATGGGAGAAATGGAGGGAAGGGGAGGGGAAGGATGCAGAATATTTTATTGAATTCCTAAAAAATCTCCAGATATTCAAAATACATGAATTTAGGCTGACATTAAAGCATATGTACATCTCATGTAGAACGCACAGCGAGGGAACAAAATGGCAAGAGCGCAAGCTAAAGAAAAACCACCACCAAATTTGCATTTTCATAATTCAGCCTTAAATATAACTTTGTGTCACTAAATAAGTGTCTTACTTCCTACCAGTAATGGTCAGATGGGGAATCATCAGACTGTTTTTGTGATTACCATGATACTTAGATAATGTCTTTTTAGATAAAATGTAATCATTACAAAAGAATTACTCACTGTGTCCATATTAAAAATAGAAATACCGTATCATAACAAAAACTATGTTCCTAGCATTTCAAAATGTCAAAGTACAAAAGTATATTCAGGCAGATTTCTACTGGGAACCTCCACTTGGTTTTCAAAATAGCAATGATATCTACTTATATTGTGTAAAAACTTGCATTAACGATTTACATTCTGTTTAGGATTTCAAAGTACTTCAATATATTCCGGTAAATGTCCATTAGGAACTTCTGTTTCATTTGCAGAATAGCAATTGCAGTGATGCAGACTCTACACAAGCTTGCACTGCACTACTACTTACCTTCTAATGCTTTATTCACAGAGACTGAGAACTTATCCCAAGAAGGTGGCCCCGACATTCAAGAGGCAGTTCTTTTAGCCACAGGTCAACCAAGTCCAGAGAGAGAGGGCTGGGACGAGGAGAGTGATTCGCTGGAATCGTCTTTGGTGGATTCTTCTGTTGTTTCAGGTATTTGGAACCTGCGCATAGTTTCCATATTTTGCTAATTGCCACTTCCCGAAAAATCAGTTGATGACATCGGGATCTGTGAAACACAGGGAAAAAATTTGGGCCTTGGGATTTTGTGAGCATTCTTATTAAAATTCATATTTCTAGAAACATTTAAATTAAAGGAATTCTTTGTGGCTAAAAATGTTTTTCAAAACTAATGCAATATTAGTATGTTATGAATAGGAACACATTTGGTTCTAATTTTGCTTTATAAGAAGATACCCATGGTCTTCGTGATGTGATAAGTATTATAAGCATACCCTATATTTCATAGTTTTCAAAGTACCTTCAAATATATGAATTAGTTTGATTCATCCCAAGCTCCGAGGATTAAAAAGGCCATTCGTTATCTTTTCTTTATTTTATAGACTGGGATGTCTCAGGGAGGTTCAGCTGGGTTGTAGAGACCAAACGCAAGGCTGTAGCAAAGAAGATGACAGGTGCTAAACTGGGGTTGGCTTGATTTGCAGTAACTAAGTGGTGAGTGAACTATTCACCAGCATGACCACCTTTTTTGATATGAAACATTCCTGGAAGGATCAAACTAATTTAATCACATTCCCCTCCCTAATTTACTGGATAGGAAAATCCTCTCTTCCTCTCTCCCCACCAAAGGGCCACATTCAATTTTCACAAGAAATAGTCATTTAAAAGAAACAATTTTTAAAAATCTGTGCTGTGCTGGTAAATGTTGAAGAAGTAATTCTCCGGAGGAAAGAAAGGAAGTCCTGAGCTGTAGCATTTGCCAACCTTCATGATGCAAATGCTCCCACTGAAGCTGATGTCAGACCTCCAACGTAATGTCCCTGAGTTGGAAAGGGAGAAGCACTAGGTCACCATCGTGTTAGCATTTCCACTATGCAGATACAATGGGCATTAACAGCCTCAAGGACATAGATAATAGAGAAATCCAGAAACACGATTAGGAAGTGATGAGTTTAAGTATTCATTACCTATGCTTTCATATAATTTATTTAACTGTAAATCGATATTATTTAATTTTTTAAATGGATGTGCTTAACCTACTCACAAATTCCTGAAAATCTAACGATTGGCTTTTGTGAGCTGATATAAGCTGACTCCATCACACCACTGCAAAGTTTACTACTTTCTTCTCTCTCTCGCTCTCTCTTTTTTTTTTTTTTAAAGTAATCTCTACCTCCAATATGGGGCTCGAACTCACAACCCTGAGATCAAGAGTCACACGCTCCACTGACTGAGCCCACCAGGCGCTTCCAAAGTTTACTATTTTCTACTCAGAAAAGTAGTGTAGCTGCATTGCAGGAAATTTGGAAAATGTGAAAACATACAAAGAAAAAGTCACTCATCCTCCCACAATGTAGATATATTACTCTTAACATTTGGGTATCTATCCTTCTGCTCTTTTAACATAAGTGGATGTTTATACACGATGGCATTTCTCCTGTGTTTGTTAGGTAGTCTTCTATAGCATGGTTTTTAATGACTTAATAATAGTTCCATCCATTGGGTGCTTTATAATTAATAAATCAATTGTTAAATATTTAGGATGTTTAAAAATTTCTACGTTGTGAATAGCTCTCTTCGTATCTATGTTTCAGTTTAATTCTCAAAAACATACTACATAATTGGAACTTCTGGATCCAATGATGTTTGCAATCTTAAGACATTTGATACTTAATGTCAAATTTAACTCCAGGAACTTGTACCAATTTAGGTGTCCTTTAGTAGTATAAGAGAGTGCCTATTGCCCTGAAGTCTCTTCCACAAGAACAGGTATTTCTACAAAATATCATTATTTTCAAGCCTTGCCAGTTTGGTATTTTGCTATTTGAATTTTATTTTTTTGATTTCTGGTGGAAAACCTTTTTGTAAGTTTATTCTCTTTGTTGTTGTTACTAATTCCCTATCTATTTGTCTATTAAGGTGTTTACATTCTTCTTGCTGATTTATGTGAAGTACCTAAATATATAGGATAGCATTTCTTTGTCATAAATAGTCCCAATATGTTTTATAGTTTGCCAGCTATTCAGGCTTGTGCCTCACTCATTTGTTTGTTTGTTTGTTTGTTTTTTATGCAGTGCTTCTGCTGCTTTCCTGTGTATGTGAACCATTGGGAGGAGTGGGTCTTAATGAAATGCATTCTGATTCAGTAGGTCCTGTGTGGAGCCCGAGATTCTGCCTTTCTCACGCGCTCCCAGGTGATGCTGTATTGCTGGTCCTGGACCACACTTTAAGTAGTGAGGTTTAATATACAGAATAGCAAATACCTGAATTCCAGAGGATTTTTTTTTTCATTTGAGCAGCTGCGCTTTCTTTCAGAAATCATGATTTTATCGGAATGCCAAAATCACTATCTGAATGTGGATTTGTCACATTTTAATAAACTTCCTTGGTAGGACACCTGACATCTCTGTGGGTTACCAGCTATTTTCTAAATCCACACTAGAAAGAATCGAAGACAGGACTGAGGCTGGAAGATGATCCTGTATCTTGAATGAGGGTTTTTCATCAAAGGTTGCCAGCAATGCATCTCATCAGCCTGTAGCTTATGTCTCTATGGAGGATTCTGAGTCTTAAAATGAACAAAACTAAGGGCAAAACTTTAAAAATATTGTTTTTCTATGAGTTAGTGTAAAACTTAAAGTTGCATGTTGTGAAAAAAAAAAAAATCTAGATCTCAATAATGGCCTTAGAGGACGGAAAGGGATTTTTTCCCTTTGTGTTCCCTCTCTCCCTCTCTCCCATTTGCCCTCTGTTCCTTTGGATTCTTTCATTTAACAAATATTTATTTAACTACTACATGCCAGACATGTACTGTTCAGTGTTCAGTACTGCCAAGACAGTGGGGGAATGTAACAGAGGTGGCTTCTTGCTCCCGTGGAGCTTTCAACTGACGGGCATGTCAGTCAACCAGTGGTCACTGCATAGTCACAGTAAGTGCTAGTAACATTCATACAGTAAATGCAAGGACAGCCTATTAAAATATATATACCAGTCTGAGAACATGTGGAAGTATAGTCCACTGTACAGTGATAAGGACCCCACCCAATTCACAGACTTGAATGACCTTCTGGTCTGTAGGATCCTCGTGATGTCTGGACTTCCCTGTGGACTTGAGAGCCAGACAGACCAATCCATTCTGGCCCTTTTCAGAGCAATAACAAAAGGTAACTTATTTATGAAAATGTAGTTCCTTTGCTTTAGGTCTTAGACACCACTGCTGATAGATGCTATGGGTCATTCCAAGTGTTTGTCTCTTTCCTTATTGCTCTCCGGAACTAAGAATTACAGATATAAATAACTTGTAAAGTACCATTAGCCCAAGAAAGTTACTGGTGTCCTTTTGATTGAAGTTTTTGTTGCAAAAGTTACCGTAGAAGGATTTTGCCCCTACAGGCATCCTTTCATAGAATTAACAGTTAAAATAAAGGGGAAAATATCCCATAGTCTGTACTATGCATTTGCATAATTTTGTTTGCGTATCTTATCAGTATTGATAATGTATAATCCTTATTTTGAATTCTAATATATAGGGTTAAGATTTCATATATAGCTCAAATATAGTCAATGCTACGTTGAAAGAAACTTATTGCTTAAGCTGCACACATTCTATAAATATGAATTTTCATATGCAGAAGAAAAAAATGTAACTCGAATTGTTTCTAATTTTAAATTGACTCCTCTAATTTTTATTTCTGAACAAGTTTCTAAAATTTTTTTTCAGCGCATAATAGTCTTGGTGCATACAAGGGGTAATTATTTATAGTTTCAATACAAAGATTCCTTATATATTGTTTTTTAGCCCCTTTGACTCCTTAACACACCTGATGGGTAAGATACGCTACCACTAGTAACAGTCGCCTGCCCTGAAACCAATTTTAAACCCATTTCTCCTTCACTCTTGGGGTGATATATCAGGATTCCCTAGGAGGCAGCTCTGGAGAGTGCTTTTGTCATGCCTCCACCCTGGGGACTGATATTTGTTCTTCCTTCCTCCTTCCAACTACTTCCCATTAAAAAGTGGTTAATAATGAAGATACACCAATTTTTAAGACTTGCCTTCTTCTAAATTAACACAATAATTTCTAAAGGATGTTTGAATAGTTCTCAGACAGTTAGTAGAATTTTAATGCTGGATGTTATAGTTCTGCTTTCTAAAGTCACTGGTCATCTCTTATAACAAGAAAATATTGGAAATCTGTGCTGTTTCTCTAGACCACATCTCCCTAGAAAACATCAGAGGGACAAAAAAGCCACATTCATTTTCTTCTGTTGAAAATAACTTTAGGAAATACGAGGTTATCTGGATCATTTTAATTCTGTATGCTTACAGTAGAATTGATTGTACAATCATTTTTAATTTAATAATCTGCTATTGCTTTCTCAAAAACAAGTAAGTAGTTATTTTACACCGACTTTTACATTACACTATTTTAGGAGTTAATGCCTTAGAATAAAATGAAAGCAAAGCAAAAGAGATTCAAAACAAAATAAAACTTTTATTTACAGTGAACTTACTTTGATGAAGAGTTTCCCATAAAATCTCTCAGACTTCTTTTATCGTTCTATGTTGGATCTTCCTGTTATCAAACGAGAAAGTGCAAGTACCCGAGATTGGCCAGCAGAGGGCGCTTTTACATTATAAAGAGAATGGAATTCACTGTTCCAGGGTGGAAGATTATAATGTAACTGTAGAGTGTGCCATATGTGAATATACAGTGCGCATGACTGTGAATGCATGTGTATATTTTGATTTATATATTCGTTCACGTGAAGATTTTAAAATTCCACCCCAGCTAATGAGCTTACCAACCTGCTTGTTTTCAGACTTTAATACCTTCTTTTTCATATTCCCCCATATGTTCCACTCCTTAGGTTTATCCGGTGACATTATGCTTTGGAATATATTGTGGATATATTTTGCATAGATCATGTTCTGTAGGAGGGGTTTAAAAATTGACCTTTATAAAACAGCC